AGATTCAAGTGTAAAACATTTTCCATTATATTTCCTAATTTACTAGGTTTAATTGTTAGGACGACTTCTGGGCCCCCGATGATCCCATTTATTTTAATATTACATACAACTGGTTTTACTTTTGACGGGTACCAATTATCCGGACAGCTTGTAAATTATCATGTTATGTGAAAAATCAGAGAAATAACGACGATAAATACTATTAATGAATTAATCTGTGTATTTGTATAATAATCGACTGCAATATACGCTGTTCTTATACATCGTAACGTAACAACAAATTTTCGAAATTAAGGAGCAACTAAATGAAACAGTACAATCTTTTGTGATTATTCAATTCTAGTACTTCCAGTTATCGTTTTCTTTTACAAAAATATGAATATTTATTGTAATATACAGTAGATCTCTATATAACACGGCTTTGTGTAACACAACACAATAAGTGTGGCAATGCTTGTGTAATACGGTAAAACAGGCTCTTATGACACGGTATGTAAGTATACATTCTCACATTCTAACTTAAAGTATCACACGAAATATCATTAATTATTCATTTGGCACTTTTTCTAGAAAAATTTATATAAATATAAATGCTCATTTTATAAATATATATCTCCATATGCATACATAATCTGTATATCTGGAACCCAGAGCCAGAGTGTATTAAGTTACATTTTCAAACTGAAGTCGGTTAATACAGAAACGAGTAACAGGCATCGAAAGATGTAAGAATCTTTAGATATACTATAGTTGTAGGTCAGAAAGTCACGAAAAACTGCGATTTTCAACATTTTTAACCGTTTGTATCTCATAACAACGTTAACCGATTTCGATGAAATTTTCAACATGCATATAACTAACAGAAATCTAAGCAATGTATTCATTAAATTTTCATTACAATCTTAGATAAAAAGTCGCAAAAAGCGACCATTACTAGTTTCTTCGCAATTACGATCAATTGCAACTTATTCAACATTTTAGTAACACATCATTTAGTACACTAATCCTTCTAACTTCACAAAGAAACTCAAGTCACTTGGTCCAATTTTGAAAGAGTTGTTCTGGTTTAAAGGTTGTACGAATACTTTTTTGACCCACTGTGTGTGATTCGTAGACCACGGAACGTATCCCCCGTGTAATAGTGAGCTCTACTGTATTATCATAAATTTTATACATTCACCCACTACGAAACCGATAAAGCCAGTTCCCAGGTGTCTCAAATAAACCTAGAAGTCATCCAAAATCACAATATTTTCTAAATCAGTTCACAAACACATCGTTACACAAATCTACAAGCGAACCAGTAACATCTATTACCTATTGGCTTATCTAGATAACCGAGAAACAGGGTGGAAAAAATGGCATGCTTATAAAACAAGGATGGTCTTGTACCATCTAATTACAATGGATTCTCTCTTTGCGCTTAGTAGGACAACACACTCATTGTAGTTGGACGAACAATGATTTGGTATTATCTTCTTACCAGGAGTTACCTTCTTGCCAAGCAGATCTTCGGTGTAACCTCAAAATGTTTTTCTTATTTTAGCCCACGTACAACAAGAGCACATGAGTTTGCACGCACATGTACCTAAAAATGTACTACGATTTTCCACAAGCACACATTTCCTAAAACAAACTCTGTAGAAAGAAAAAAAGAGTGTGGAAGGCAGAGAGAGAGAGAGAGAGAGAGAGAGAGAGAGAGAGAGAGAGTGTGTGTGTGTGTGTGCGTGCGTGCGCGCGCGCGCGCGCGCGCGCGTGTGTGTGTGTGTGCGTGTGTGTGTGTGCACGAAACGAAACAAACAGCATGAGCATGAAATGAAATTTTCATCCATAATTATACCAGATTTTGTTCTGAGATCAGAGCGTCCCTAGAGTCCCTAAACACATCGCTGGCTGCTCTTGGTACCATGTCGAAAGGACAAGGAATGTGGAGGGACAGGTACAACATGCCCTTTTTATTATTTTCCCTTTATAAATTTAGGCATTTCCGTGTATGTATAAATTAACGGAAAAATATATTATGTTCGTGTGAAATGTATGTTACTTTTCTTTCAATTTTTTAGTTTAGAATTATTTTTAGATTCGAACGTTACTTGATTCATTTTGATTCATTTTTTCGGACCAAACGATTTGCTATTTTGCGAATATGTAGTTCTCATCAGTGGATACTAAAGTGTTAAATAGTTGTGGCCTTAAGATCAATCGTATTCAGGAAATCGCAGTACAGTGTCTTGTTTCTTAAAAAGTTATAGCATTTCAAGCTCAAAAATGTAGCTGAAATGATTGTTATTGTACGCAGTTGTGTACAAGCTAAATGTTAGTAACAAAACCATGATTCTTTAATGAATTACATTTCAAATAATAAATCAATTTAATTTATTATTTTTTATTAAAAGAATAACTGCTTGTTTTGTTGATGAATAGAGTCCAGTATTAAAATTAGAAAGTCTTTGCATTAGTTGATCTTGAAATCCTAAGCTTTTCCAGAAAAGTATACGCAAGATAGATAAAACATACCCATGTTGCGTAAAGATTTCCAGTAAACAATAGAAATGGAAATAATTTTTAAATCATAAAGATATCGATATCTTGCATCATAAAAACGACATTCAATGTTTCGAAACATAAGAATTTGAAATAAAGATTCGATTAAGATTAAAAATTAATGTTAACGTATGTATATGTCTAACGTAGTAATATAATAATTTAGTTACTGAAAACCTGCTTATTTACTTAATAAATTTCATGTTTAGTTTCATTACACATTTTCTATATTAACAAGTTAGAATTTGATGCGACTATTAAACAAAATATCTTGAGGTTATAGTTTAAAAATGTTTGGCTTCCCGGTCCATATTTATTAACATTTTTTAACTTTACATACACGCAGAAATTTATGCATTTATAAACGATCTATACAATTCTAGATCAAGAATACATAGTGATTCTAAGAAATGGGATAAAGCATATCTCCTTTTTGCTTTTAAGGAATAATATGTTAGTGAAAAATTCGAATGGTTTAAAAAGGTCTAATTTCCTATGATCCCATACTTTCATTTAGCGGAATGACTTATGTTCAAGGTGGAGTGACATCATCTGTAAAAGTAGAACAATATATTGCTGGTTATGTAAGTTGATTCCTGTTTTAAATACATACAAATTTAAAAATCTAAAATATACACTCATTTAACGATACATACAATAATGAAATTAATTATTTTATATAATTGAAAATGTTGAACTTGTCAGAATTCGGATTATAGAAAATGTAGCCCTTTTAAATCATGTCAATTTTTCCTTTACCATTCTTCCTTTCTTAAAAATGGTAAAGAGATATGTGTATATTCTATTGATCATCCCATAGGTATAAAATCTTTGACTTATTATTCTACTGTCTGTATGATTTACATTTATCAATTTTCTACGTCACATGTGAATTGAATGATTTTAATGTAAAGATAATATTTTAAGTTTCATTTACTTAATATATTTTTAAGTTACAAAGTAAATAGAAACAAATATTACGAAATAAAATATGTCTAGGTTTAGAAAGTAAAGAATACTTCAAGAATGGATCAATTTACTATTGGAACAATTTTATTAGTTAAGCTAATTTAGATCTAGTTACTATTCAGGATGATTTTTTAAGTCTATAAATAGAAATAGAAAACATTGAAGATATGAGATTTATGGTACTTTAAAGAGAAAAATTTCTGAAAGTAAATTCTAGACTACTTATAAGTTTTCAAAATTTTGTCGATACAGTCATGGGAACGTCTTTTATACGCGTATCACTATTAAAAGTAAAACTTTTACATCCACTGTTAGGAATGTTCGTATACTAAACATATTTCTGTTTCTTTGAGGGCAAAGCTACTCAGTCTACATTCAAATGAAAAAATCATATAACGAATAATTTTTTGCCTTTTCTGACATTTTTACCGTCATCGTAAATTAGAAGGATAAGTTAAGATTTCGATCTTCAATTTTCTCCATTGAATAACGTTAAAAAAAACATCTATGCTTTCAAAATAATTACCTCACACATATAACATAGTACATAATACATCAGAAAATGTTAATCGTGCTCTCGTAAATACAAGGAAAGAATCGTTTGTCTTTTAGATAGTTTACCTCATGTCGAACACATTTTCCTTATAGTGGCTGCTGGACGTCCATTAGACACCTCATTACATGAAAACTTCAAGCTGTTTTTTGCATACGTATCGAAATCTGTCATGCAGAGCATACTCGTTCTATAATTTCCGCAGGATGAAACAGTTAACCCTTTAATGATGTTTGACGAGTATACTGGTCATGAGGAAATTACCATTTCTCAGGTAATGACGAATATACGTGTCATGTGAAAACATGAAATACCATTTGCTGTAAAAATTGAAATTTTAGTAAAGATTGAAAAATATATTCCACACAAACAAAATTTCCAAAACAAAATTCCATCGTTAAAGGGTTAAGAAAATGTGGTTCCACTTCGTGAAAACTTGTTGATCCTCCATCAGAAATAAAAACAGAAAAAAAGAGGGTCGACAACAGATTTCGAGACGGTCTGCCTTACGTTGCTCTCCTAACGTATGTCTTTTTTCCGCAGAGTGTGAGTGATGTGGCCTCGTTGCGTCTCTACTATAATACATGATTATTATTGTTAGTCCCTGTTTTTTGTAGTGTTGTACAATAGAAAAGTGGCTTGCGTGTTGATGATTGCGGGTTTTCGAAAAAAAAAATATCATATGCTAGCATCACCATGGCACGGAAGCGCAAACGAGAAAACGTTTTTTTTTAAATATGCGACACCGTGCCCACGTGCTGACCTGAGTAACTAAGAAGTATTCGAAAATCTGTAAAAGTTGCGCTAGTTCAGAATCTCGACACCATTCTTTATGTCGTCATCTCTCATCACCATTTTTATATGAACGAGTGGATACTAACGCGTTTTTTATTTTGTTCCCGATCCTCTGTTGTTTTATTTGCGCTACTCGCAGAATTCCACAATGGAGAAAGTAAGTGATCTTCTCTTGAATCTTAGCTTCTGTTACTTGCCATATCGCTCTTCACTTATGATTTATGTTCTTTGATACAATTAGTGCACAATGAGTATATGTGGGCAGAAGAACTTAATCGAACGCTATTAAGTCGATCAGTCTAGTGTCTCGATGCGTATTATAATATAATTTTATGAAGAAATTGGCGACAGCTATTACGACACGAACTTGTAGGAAACAAATTTAAATATCGAAGGAACAATAATTTAAAGCAGGTCGTAATGTAAAATATTAAGACTGAATTGCTAAGTCAGTTTGTTATTGTTTCAAAATTGATTTTATTCGATTACACAGAAGAACCTATATTACGTATTCTGTTCTCTAGAGTAAAGTAGCATTTCCTTTTTGTCGAAACAGAATATTGTGATAGACAAAATTAATTCTAGTTATTAACTATTAATGCCGAATTTTTTTCAAAGTCGTAAAAATACTATTAGATTTCAGTCTGAATTTTTGCATTTATATTTCTCGAAATATAATGTCAAAAGAAAATGTTTAACGAAATGAACTCAAAAAGAAAACACCTTAGACTAAAGAATACTTATTTTTGATATTTGAAAAAGTAAATTTAGAAAAACCAGTATTTACATTACATGTACACAATATTGCAGGCACATCTGTCAACTTTAACAAATCTATTTTCTACAACTTAAAAAGATATGAATTTAAACATCACAATAATAAAAACTTTGAGGTGCCTAGCAAATTTTCAAACAAAGCGGTTTTCTACATTGTGCTTTTGTTGTTCTTTTTTCGATTGTTTGGGAATATTATATATACCCATCCTATTGTCCGAAAATTTTCCTACATATTATATCCTTTTATTAATTCAGATACATAATAGAGGTTCTAATGTGGCATCCAATATTTATTGGCCATTTCGTTTTACGACAATCGAAATTTGAAACAGACTACGGATTTTATGTACTTGTAGCATTTTTCAACCACGACAATTGAAACGAAATTCAATAGAATTCATACTTGTAACATATTTGAATCTTCAAGCAGAAAAATCCAATATCTGTGTAACAGTTAACTTTATGAATTACTCAAAGAAAGCGTGCATTTCCATAAAAATCCGTAGTCTAGCCATAATTAATGTCTTTTGAAAACACGACAAACAATGAACAATGTCATTGCATCATCTTTCTTGAGTAGGTAATCTTCGCGGAATTTATTGGCGATCGGTATTCTTAGACTATTCAGTGTATCGAAGGAAAACAAAACGTATGGCGTGCAACACCAGTTCCGCCGTATGTACGAATATTTTTACAATTCAACGCGTGGATTAAGCAAATTCCAAAATACACTCCACCGCGAGTAATTCTGGTTTATATTCACTGTGCACGCATCACACGCAAATGCTCTGTGAATTAATCCCGAGGTTCATTGCGGGAATCAATCCATCGGCACCGTCAATAATTAGAATCCGATCGAATGGATCTTCGAACTCGATTCAGCCGAGTTCCACGATTTCTTTCTTTTTAATTTTTTATACTTTTTTATGATGCTCTCAATGTTAATATGTTTTACGCTTGCAGCCGTAAAATATCCATGCAGCAATATCCCTGACACAAGCCTACAGGCCGTTATTCTCCAGCCGTATAGTTATTCTATTTAAGATTTATTTGGCTCCATCTCTCATGTAATTTCTCTTTGCACATAATTACCTCGCATTAATTATTACTTGTTTTTCGTTTTCATGTGCCACGGTCAACCAAACGCGTAGCACAGAAGTTTTTTAATCTCCCACTGGAGACATTAATGGAACATTTAACGCCATTCATAAAACCGAGTAAAAACGATTTAACGCGATCGCGGACTGTCTCCCGTAATCCATAACTCTTCGCTTTTAGTAAATATTCTTTTCCAAAAAGAATATGCTTTTTTCGGCTTGGCGTGCTTTCGATACTTAACGAAATAATTCTACCGTCCCTGTAAAATGGCCTTTTATATTATATTTTTGTTACGAGCGTTCGAAGAAAGATTTATAGAACCATTCCTTTCCTCCGTCGGATATATCATAGAGTAAATTCTGTACAGTAATAGAAAATTCCATGGCCGTGTTCACGGAATTAGCATCGGTCTTGAATGTAGAATTTAATCGTCGCTGTACATAAGAATTCCAGAGACTACAAATAGTACGTGAGAAGCTTAGATTCGATGTAAATACTCGAATATTAGCGGAAACCATCGTTTATTTTATAATTTAATTACAATTGATTTCGTTTAAGCGAATGGCATGTTCGTTATTTCCCTCGAAAATGGCCAAATGTTTTTTGACCGCAATATTTTACATTCGTGTACGCACAATATACATATAATCTTATTTTCAAGCCTCTAGGGGTGTTCATAACGTCTCCAGCTATTTTACTGATATTTTTGCGTTCGTTCCCATTCGTCGGATCGCCGGAAGTGTATTGCTGTAATGTTGATCTCTTGTGTAAATGACAGCTTCCTGGTTTCCTTTTTGGTGGACGCACGAGGCGGTGCTATGAGAGGGTGCAGGCACAGCGGCGTGCGTGTTATCGTCCCCCCTAGAAAGGCAGCGATGCCGATGCGAGTCACCTGCAGATATCTCAGAAGGGACAAACTGACGAATCCGCCACCTTTGATGGAGGGAGAGGCCTTGGCTAGCCGCATCCTTGAACTTGGACCCGTTGGTGCCAAATTTTTAGGGTATGTACAACACAATTTATGGGAGAAGGAGGTACAGGGAGTAAGAACAGAAAAGGATGTGTGGAAGATAGTGAATAGGGAGAGAAAAAGAAGAAGAAGGGTTAACGAGAAGATAAAAAAAGAACAATGGGATGAGTACTTTAGAGGACTGCTAGGAGCAGTAGAATGGAGGGTGAAAAAGGGAGGGAAAAGGAGAAGAAATGAGGATGGAGAGGAGGAAATAAGAAAAGAGGAAATAAGAAGGGTGGTAAAAAGTTTGAAAGACGGAATGGCGGCGGGGGGAGATGGCATCCTGAATGAAGTTTGGAAATATGAAGGGACAGAGGTAGAAGAATGGATGTGGAGAGTATGTAATGGCGTATGGAAAGAGGAAGGATGGTCAAAAGAATGGAGGGTGGGTATAATGATACCAGTGATAAAGAAGAACGAAATAGAAGAATATCGAAGGATAACTCTAACACAGACGGCGTACAAGGTGTACGCGTCTGTGTTAGCAGAGAGGTTGAGGGAGGAGGTAGAAGTAAAGAATCTGCTGCCACCGAGTCAAACGGATTTCAGAAAAGGGATAGGATGTGTTGGCAACATATATGTTCTAAACTACAACACAATTTCAACTTGTCATTAGCACTATGACAACCGGCTAGATCCACGAGTAACTTTCACCCGTGACCGGCTGCTTTTGGTCACATGCGACTGTAACAAATATCATTGGCTTCGGAAATTCAAGCTCTATCACTCTGCTAAACCTCGTTAAAAAGTCAGCGTTACCTCTGAGGACATCTCCTTGCCACTGCCGGGGAGCATTCGAACACTCATCGAGGATTTATTGCATAGTTTTTGCAGCGTATGTAAAAAGATTCAATAGCTTTGAATATCTGAAAAAGACCAGTTGGCACTCACATGACGCCACTATGCTGTTATCGTTCGTCATAGTGTTAATACAAACGCTATTAACGATTTTGAGGTAGATACCTACTATGTAGTTATTCTATACTAGTGCTTCAAAAAGTTAACCCTCTGTGGTTATTGTGCGCCGGTGCATGGTCACTCTGTTGGTTAGAATTATTATAATAGATAACTACGGTGGCTGCCGAAAGTTTCAGGTCAAATTGTAACTTCAAAATATCATTTTATAAATATATACATGTAATACGAATAATTCTTGATATACCCATATTGAGGATACGTTGCTTCTTCAGATTTGGTGATATTTAACATTTTCTTGTTAAAAAATAATCTGTTCTCCTGTTCCGAACAAATATAAGTCGGCTTGACAGGAGTTATGACAAAGATATGGTGAAATTATAGTTTGGTGAAGTATAAAAATAATCTCGTAACGCACTCAGATCGTACAAGTGTTATGAAGGATTAATAAATCCTGACATACAAATAAATAAAGATGTACTCTTATTTTTTTCATTTATTACTCAAAATGACCAAATAACTTGTGTATTAATCGTTTTAATAAAATATTTATTAAATAAAAATTAAAACAGCATTTCTTCCGAACAGGCCTGTAATAATAGAGGTACCTCATTTTGCTTCATTGCGAGGAAAAGAACGAGAGATAGTAATACTTCGATCGGACAATGGAGAGACTTGGCGTGAGCACACCTTGGAAGCCAGCGAGGAGGCAGTCCAGGATGTGCTTAATGAGAGCTTTGAAGGAGAAGGTACGATTTTTGTACAGTTTCATTTTTTTTAGGGATTTCAATTGTCACCAATTGTATTGTAAACTTTTTTTATATCAGAATGTATACTTAATGCAATACAATCAGCTATTATCTTCTATCCAATTAAGCATCCCTTGATCTACCTAATTAAAAAAAAAACTATGTTTTTACTACCCTGTATATGTAAGATGAATATCTTCCGGTCGCATTGAAAGTTTCTGTGTGCAGGTATTTATAAAACAACGAAGTGTTGCTATTTTTGGCTTTAATATTTTTCATTATATCTATATTTTTTACTCCGTAAATGGTATATATTTTTCTTCTAACATATTGTATTTTTATAAGATCTCAATATGGAACAAATGTAGGAAGTGTGGCAATAAAGTTTCAAGAATAATTGATGTGTAAATTTTATTTTGAAAATTAAATAAATATAAGGTCATCACTTTCAAAGTAGTCCCTTTAAAATATACACGCGCATTTTAACGTCGGATCTATCGATCGCAACATTTCTGATATTCACTTCCTGGTATTTGTTGTAACCTCTTCAGACTTGACTTTTTTCTTTTAAGGAATAAATTTTTCTTGCAGAATACCTTTATTTGGGTCATCAAGGTTCAAACTTTAGAACAAACGTGAAAATTATTGTACACTGCAATATGCACTGGGCCGGATGGAGCTTAATACCGCTACACGTGGACAATAAAGTTTTGAGAATAATTTGTTTTTCGACAAAGTGAACATAACTGTTTACATTGTTGGCATTTGGACGGAAACAAAATCAGTTTTGAAACTTTATTGTCGCACTTCGTAACGTAAAACACGTATTAAAATTGATACCACAAAATGAACGTCAGAAATCAATAAAAATCGTTACGATCAAGTGATCCGACACTGGAATGCATGTGCACAGTTTCAACGTTACTACTTTCAAAGTAATGACCTCACATGTGTTTAATTTTGAAAATAAAATTTTTAAATGAATTATTTTCGAGACCTTATTGTCACATTTCTCACAGTCACGTATATTCATATCACGAAAACTTTTGGGCGTTACTAATGTACATATTACTTAAGTTTGGAAGACACGTTTTGATTACATACAATAGTTGAAGTCTAAGAGATTACAAACTTAAAAATTTCGTAAAAATATTTTTTCAGAATTAAGCCAGCTCGAGGATCTCCAAACATCTCGGATCGTAAGGATACTAACTGCAGATTTCCCGCATTACTTCGCTGTAGTGTCCCGCATTAGGCAAGAGGTTCATGCAGTTGGCCCGGAAGGTGGTACAGTCTCATCGTCAGCTGTTCCACAAGTACAGGCTGTCTTTCCACCAGCAGCCCTTACGAAAAAAATCCGTGTTGGGCTACAGGTACGTATCGGTTGTTTCGTTATATCAATTAATGGATGGAACTTCCAGCAACTGATGGAACGACTGTTAATTTTCAAGTGATAAATGGTGTAGTAGCATCACAACCAACGAATATGAAGAAGTTTGATGCACAATGAAGGTTTCGATAATTGACTTTACAGTGAAAGTACATAAAATAATATACAAGATGAGCCAATAAGAACTACTATCTAAAATAACTCGTTACCTATTGGTTGTATCAGAAAACGTTTTAGTGAATTATGTAGCATTCTAAGGAACGCATCGGGTGGGTACAATTTGATTTTTTTATATCTTATTTTTTTTCGAGCTATAAAGGTGACCTTGAGTTTTGTCAAGGTCAATGCATCTTTGTTTTAATACAGTCATGCTAAAATCGCCGATTTCGTCCTTCCATTGACAACAACATGGTGTTAAAAAAAGATGCATTGACCTTGAAAAAACTCAAGGTCACCTTGATATCTCGAAAAAAAAATTTTTTAAAATCACATTGTATCCATCCTTGGAGTGCTACATAATCCACTAAACGTTTTTTTATACAACTAATAGGTAACGAGTTATTTTAGATAGTAGTTCTCATTGACTTACTTTGTATACATGATGAAACGTAATGCCTTCATTATACATATAGTTTATTATAGCATAAGTACTCAGTAGCTCCATTAGCTGAGTGAATTACATGCATATTTTTGATAATTCTCTCGTTTTTTACCAAATTTTTCATCATTCATGTAGCATGTACCGGATGAAGATTAACGATACCCTAATTATAATAATTTAAGTGTGAGAAAATGGGAAGTTTTTATGGATTTTAGTGAAAGTAGCTGTTCCGTGAAAATAAAAATAGAATGATTAATTTTAAAGAAGGTTCCCTCGTGGGTAGATTCTTAGATAATTTTCTTTTGTTTGTATAAAAGAAATCAATGGCAAAGAATATTATTTCTTGATTTCTGTCTGTAAGATACTCTACTACTTCACATATTTAGACATTCTTTGAAGAAATCAGAAAAATTCTAGTGTGATCATAACAGAAAAATTTTCATATAGCTGACGGAAATAAATTGAAAGACATGAAGCAAAGAAGATATATTATATAAAATGGTAAATGCTTAGAAAACTACAAATAATAACGGTAATTTACATGTTCCAACACAAATGGAAAACGATAAAATAAGAATGTACTAGAGTATGAATACACAATTACTTAAATTCGTTTTGTTTAATGAGAAACTTTCTACATTTCTTCATTCACAGTGGATTTTCAAACTTTTAGCTGGTAATGTACTTGGCCCCATCGTTCTTGCTACTATCTCTAACAGAATATCAGTGACTTATAGCGATTGCGGTTCTTATTTCTCAAATTATTAATTTCACCACATTTTCTCATAAAGATGATCATCACTTGCAGCGAAACATCGCGTTTCACCTACATTTTGGATTACGAACAATCGCATTTATGTTTAGGCGCATCCGATACCAGCAGATCTCGTAGCTAAGCTTCTTGGTAACAGAGTGGCGGTATCGCCGATCGTAACCGTCGAACCAAGGCGAAGGAAATTCCACAAACCGATAACCTTAACTATACCAGTGCCCCAGGCGGCCAACAAAGGCATGATCAATCAATATTCAGGAGATGCGCCGACGTTGAGACTTCTGTGCAGCATAACTGGTAATATATGCTTGCACGTAACATTGTAGAGCAGCGTACCGTCTTACTGGAGAATCTCTTACCGATAAGCGCTGAATAACTGTTACGCCGCAATACCTTTGGTGTATTTATACGCGGGCGGTAGGCATCGTCGTCTGTTCTCAGGTCATCGGGACTGCATAGAGAAGCCCTCTTCTTGTAGCGCCGGAATTATCAGGTTATTTCAGTAGTTATTTTGCGTATTTTTGCGTGAACTTTATTGCGAAATCAAAACATAGAAAGAAATAAGTTCGATCCTCGATGTAATTTAATGTTTTGTTCTTCGCAAGATTGGTATGGATCTGCTTCAATTACAGCCTTGAACCTTTCGTCACTAAGGGTGACTGTAGTTATCTAAGTCCAGCGTTTGCTGTGGTCTAAAGATGACTATAGTCATCTATCGCTGAACGCTTCATGTATCCTAAAGGTGGCTATAGTCACTTTTTAGTATCTCGAAGGCGAACAGTTTGGCGCTTGTTTGCTTTCGAAGGATTTATGGTTGGGACTTATGCTGTGTGCGGTCCTGGAAGAGACGACGTGAAACTAAACAGCCCTGGGGTTACGCGGCGGTTGAGGATTACATTGGGCCTTTCAGCTATCGGCTATCGCAAATTTACTTATGAGAAACAGATTGTCTTAAGAATAAGGACATTGTTTCTGAAGGATCTGGTCATAGAGTTTGGAAGGCAAAGGTGCCATCGGGTGAGAATATGTTGGACCGCACGCCACTTACTTCTGTACCTCGAAGGAATACAGTTCGTATTAAAAATCGAAGCATCGGTAGAAAGCATTTTATTAATAAGGTGCCTTATGTGTATTTTATCAGCATTCATTGTTGGAGCTAACGCTATCAACCGCTCATTCTAAATTCGGATGATTGACAAAATATTGATATTATATTGATGCTCGAAAAACAAGACTAAATCTGAAGTAGTGTAAATAAAAGGTAAACACGTAAAATTGCGTCACAATTGCATCCTACGAAATACAGAAATGTCTTGATAAGTGTGAATGCCTCGGTTGCAGAGTCACATTCACGATGAGCGTGGACAGTTGTCAGCACCTCGTCAATCAGTTTTTTGCTCGACGCTCGAGTCTCGGCCGCTTACCTTTGTAGTGTTTCGACATAGAAAAGGATAAGCGAGTGAAAAACAGAAAGAGAAAGCATCTCTTTTCACTCGATTCGACTGCGTGGCCCGCCTGCGACGCTCCCACCGGCCAATGGTTACATTGTAATCGCTGCGGTTCGCATTATCTTACTCGGTCTCGATGTGTTTCGTTCATTCTCTTCGTCACACAGTCCGTTTGTGTGTGTACAGTTTCGGCCAATAATAAAAATACGTGTGACTGGAGGTACCCAGCTACCATTGTAACATCGAAGCGTCGTACATATGCATGTACATTTCCCCGCTCTGTCCTTCGACTCCGTCGTGCCAGTCGGTGAGAAGAAAGAGACTTTTTCCGACAAGTCGACGCGACGGCTGAACGAGGGAAGATCAAGAAAAGATTATATTCCCGGGTATCGGTGATACAACGCTAATGCAACGATCAAACTTTTTTATTTTTGATTCATTGTTAATGAAACTTTTACTAGTATATTGGTGAGATTTTTCTGATTAAAATGATACCAAACACGATATAATTTGGACCATATTTACTTATGATTTATCAGAAACGATAATGAACAAATATGAATTGTTAACAGTTTCTACATGAGTAAATATGATCCAAATTATGTCGTGTTTGGTATCATTTTAATCAGAAAAATCTCACGAAAATGTTCGTAAAAGTTTCGTTAACCAAGAACCAAAAACAAAAAGTTTCATCGTAGCATTTGTTCCCCTCGTTCAGCCGTCGGCTCGTGAAAGGGAAGCCGCCGCGGCGCGCCGGGCAAAAAATTATACGCTTGACTGGTTCCGCGACCCCCTTCCCCAGTGGTGGGGATGACGACTTCACACTTATCGTGGGCAAGCTGGCTCACACTTATCAAGACATTTCTGTATATGAAAACTTCTGAAATGATCTGATATTACGTCATTGCTACTCGTGCAGTCGATTTCTATGCGTCACAAAGTGCACTTTTGAAGCGTATAAAAGAGCCATAGAAATACCTTCGAATTCGTTAGTTTACTTGTTAGAAAACATTCTATCGTATAAAACTTTGCGTAAGTGATAACTACAGTTATTGTCTGAAGAAGTAATGCACCGAAACGAAGCTAATTTATAGATACGTCCCGGAGACCTTCGGATAGAGATTTAAAAGGGAGATGGTAGCTGCATGTTTCATAGAAACATTTCGTTGAGTACCATTGTTGTATACATATCTTGTTGTGATTCATTGTTAATGCTTGCATATTGTTAGGATTGAGTCATTTAGGTATGGATTATTAATTAACGTAGATAAAGTTTTATTACCTAGCTCATTGTAAGCGTTAACTTCAAAGTTTTTGTTTCAGCACATTCGTTTGACTGGTAAACTGCTTCGATATTAGGCTTGTAATTTATATATATATTATCAATTTGTGTACCTACGATATATACATATATGTATTTCTAGATCATTCTGATATGTATCCGTACGCCACGTTACTGATACGAAGACTAACAATTGTTATTCCTTTAATATTGCAATTCGTTGCAGCCATACTCTATTTATTTTATTAATATGTTGAACAGTTATTTATGGGAAATTTTGTTGAGTACGAAAATTCGAGTATGAATTTCACGGTGTTATATTATTTCTCGAAAGAAAACCTCGTTTCTGTTTGGTTCAAGAATTTAGTATTATCATGGACGAATGAAATGTTATACGTTTTTTTGTAGTTACAAAGAACAGAAAGATTATGTTCCCAGACGTACATAATGACGCGTTTTACTTGGTATTATTTCACATACTTTTAATTCGTTACCGCTTACCCTTTTTTTAAACGCATATTCACACGACTCGCGTTTTGCTTTCAGCGCGATTCTTCTGAATGATGCTTTTTCTTTATTTGGCAAGCATTATCATTCGGTCAGCGTTTGTTTTGTTTTGTATTACTCATACACGATACAGCACGTCACATCAACGCACTTGTGGTGACCGATATTAAATACAAACTAGATAAATTTTTCTATTATATTGAAATTTAGAGGAAATTTGGAATAATGTATCTCTAATACACACACATACATGTAGCGCTTTCTAACGTGCTATCATGCAAGAGCGCATTTGTTTATTATTTCCCGATTGATAGCCTCAAACATGAAGAGAATATTTTTATTTGACGTTCTTTTATGTAATAAATATTAAGGAGTTTTAGGTTTAATGTTTTCGCACAATTTTTAAATGTAAGAGTTTAAAACAAGCAGAACAATACAAAATAATAGTATGTCAGGAAGAACATTTTTGAAACTTCGTAGGAAATTTATAGAAAAATTCGTAGCATGAAACTGATATACCATACTTGTAAATTAAGCATAGGAGGATCGAAGTTTGCGTAACATTCTTTTATCATTTTATTGTTAGTTGGTAGAATGACTTTTTAGAGTTCGACGACACAAATTAAGAAAATTCTATGTATTGCTAACGAAAGTATGAACGTAAGCTACCAACAATGCTGTCACTTTGTATTAAGGTTTGAATTAGCTTGCATTATAGCACGTAACTTTCTTAGCAATTGGTTCAAATTTTCTATCTGATTATGTAGTTACTTGTGTCTTACAGTAATATTATCCTTTAAATTCAAGTATAGGAACATCGAACATAACAAACGTAACAAAGAACGTGGATTTTTCTTGTCAATTTGCACTTTGACCTCAGTTTTAGTAAACTTTGATAACATCAATATTGAAATTTAATATTATCAAATTTAAATACGATTTAATTTTTTAGCATAAAATAAAAATTGCATATTTCTTAAGATTGTAAAATGTTAATGTTGGTTCAAATATTTGAGTATTCCGATTATAATTTTCAGTAATACTGGGTGAATCGTTTAATGCAATGAAATTCAACAACTCTTATAATATTTCTTTTGTAAAAGATGTCACAATCTGAAGTTGCATAGTATTGAAATAGAAATTTAATAATTAGTTTTTCTTCTTGTACTTATTAAAACTAAGTAACAACAACAAAGTAGGTCCTTTTTATTGCTAAATAGATTTTTTAATTTCTTCAGAAGGAGATTTATCACCTACACTACTTTCTGGCCTTTTCTTACTTGACAGATAGGAAATATATAATGACATTCTGAAATTGAATAATTACCGTACAATTTCTGTGTTTCTATTTGAAACGTATCGAAAAACTATCGAAATTATGATTACCAAACGCATTCAATAATAACCATCAGTTCTTGCAACCACTACTTTAAATTTTAATTACCAAAGTGACATCTATAAAACATGAATTATGTTCACAATTGCATCTATAAACATACAAAAGACAAACATAAGTATTGTATTATTCATTCTGTTTATTAATTCCACGTTTATCTGCAACATTTTCATATAATATCTGCAACTTCATGTTCCATTCGTAATGTTCATTTTATAATAAAATATACAGTTATATTATACGATTTACAAAATTTGTAGGTTTAGTAAATTTAATACAAATCTATTCAATTAGATACTTTTTTATTCGATAAAAAAATGTATATTCAGCAATGAAAGGACGTTTAGAAAGTTCCAGGGCCGGTGAACGGTCGTGTATTGTAATTAATCTCGGTCGCATCGGATTAACACCACACAAAATTCACTTTCTGCCGATTCTGTATTCGTAACACGGACATATTTTAATAATGTTATTGGACTTGGTATATATGTCGTTCAGGGGGTCAGTCTCGGGCAGTCTGGGAGGATGTCACAGGCTCGACGCCGCTCACGTTCGTCAAAGATTGCGTTTCCTTTACTACCACAGTATCCGCTCGCTTCTGGTTAATGGATTGTCGGAATATATCCGAAGCCACGAAAATGGCTACAGAGCTATACACACATGCGACACACGTACCTTTCATGGCTAAGTACGTTTTCGAAATAATTCAGTTAACGTGTATTTTAAACATAAAAAAATAACGAAATAAGCAAATTACTTCCCGTAATCGCAGGTAGAACATTTCCTCTAATAAATCGAATCGATAACAGAGAAAGTTAACACTTTTTCTGTCTGGTAAGATTGTAGTATTTACGCTTCCATTCGAATATTTGGGTACACATGCTAACCAAAAAGAAAAATAAAGAAATTCATAAAGTTTTCTAATATTAACAGTTTCTCAACTGAAAATCTAGTCAATTTTTCAACCTATATCTAAAAACTTATTCGTTGAAGAATTTATACACAAAAATTTATTGTTTTGTAGTAAAACCATTGCAGACACTTTTATACACAATCTAAATTGCATTCTGTCATAAATAAGCAAGTGTACGTGTATTTTTAAGTGGAATTGCATATGATAGAAGTGTTGACAATCGTCAAAACATTATACAGTCGGTGATCACATTGTTAGAGTCACAGTAAGAAAAATATATTTTTCGGACTTGTGTAGAAATATAATAACAATAACAAGGTTTCTACACTAGATAAATTTTAAGTAATAGTTATTAAAAGTTGTTTATTACAGATACAGTAACAATTAAACTTAGCTTTTTGCAATTATACAAAATAAGGCTAAAGTCATAAAATCGTTAATTAATTCAAATGGCTTTAATAATGTAACCATCCACTGTATACGTGCTATAATTTTTATATACTATAAAAATTCCTCTAGATATTTATCTGATCTTTAATAACGATGTCTGATTACGTCATAGCTTGAGTGATAGAATCACCGTAGTAGAGTTGTCCATTTAGTCATCAGAATCTAAGAAGCGCGTAGTAGACTCAGGATGAGTTCTGAGTACTCAATGAGTGACACGAAACCGTAACATCTTTCAGAATCTCTATTCTAAACAGAAGTGTACCCAAACGAACTGGCAGCGTATTCATAGCACTCTTTAGTATTTCATGTAGTTTCATTTTTTCTAGGAACAGTTTCATATTGTATATTTCGTCAATACGTCGAATGTTAATAAAAAATGGTTCATATCTGTGATGAAATACGGGATGATATTGTAGAAAAGTATATTTTTTACTTGGAACGTCGATCGACCACGTTTTACCTGCATGATTACAGTCTTTTGTATTCAAGCGTGAACAATTATTCGAACGCGTTTCGTCCGCAGATTTGTAGTATTTGCAAAGCGAGTAGATCCGTTGGAGGCAAGGCTGCGCGTGTTCTGTATGACGGATGACAAAGAGGACAAGACATTAGAAAATCAGGAGCATTTCACCGAAGTTGCAAAGAGCCGAGACGTCGAGGTAAGTGGAAGCACACTTGACTCAATTAACTTCTACTCTCTAAACAGGAAACGGCATCCTTTTTTTCTTTTTACACTGAGTCACGACGCTACACTTTAATCGGTTTAACACGATCGGTGTTGTACCGTGAACGTTTATGCAAATTCACCATTCATGTAACTGGTGGTACAATCAGATAGGGGCTGATTATACGTAAAAAAATAAGTTAAAAATATACAATAGAATTTTTTTATTTAAGTCTTCGCTTTCGAGAAAATCGACTTTGAAAATCTGCTGGATACGCGTGCAGTTGAATAGGACCTGGCTGACGCGTCTGTTTATTGCATTCCATTTCTACTTACTCCATGACGAATACGCGCGTTTCAAATTAATTTCTCAGAGTTAATTGTCTGGAAAACAAAGTCTGAAATGATAAAACTTTATTCTGTATTTTCGACTAACTTTTTCACGTAGCATCACCCCCTACTCAATTCTACCACCAGTTACACGACACACATAATATAATATGAATTTGCAAGCTGGTTACCGTCATTTTGCTAATTGTTTGCTACAAAGTATGCTACATTTCCTATATTTTTCATCTATACAGTGTATTTACTTACTCGGAATATAAGAAACGAAAATTTCAAAATGAAAATAACAGGTCAACAAATTTTTATTTTCCTAGGAAACTGCCACTTTTTCAATTTTAATTGACATTTATTTTATTCTCTTCTTTTGCTTTTTTCAATGTTTTTAAGCGTAAAGAATCTTCTTATTGACTTTATAATGCAAACAACTTCCTCAAGTGAAATCATGAGTTTCTAATCAATGTAGCTGAACTCATTTTTGACAGGCAGTAAAGTAAAACTGTTTAAATGTACGTTGTTAAAATTCATAATTATTGATTGCTGATAATAATGCCCGTAGAAAACAATTAGATTTTCCTAAGTTAATATTACTCCAATTATGGCGAAAACAACGAGTTTAATGAAGAGATAAGATTTAAAAATCATTATTGTTTCCGTCAGTTTTCTATTGTTACATAATTTTAATAAATATCTTATAATTGTCAGTTTATGTAAAACTGTATCCTCATTTTTACTACGAAAAATATACACAGAATATACTAGAAATTGTGAGAAGAACAAAACACTAATTTCTTCATTTATCCTCGTGCACTGTTCTAGTCAATTTGACCCGAAGCCAATGGTTCGATTTTTAATTGTATTTGTTATTGTAGAAATTTGTAAATGTATTTGACATTTGTAGCTATATTAAATTCTAGCGATACGTAAATATACTACAGTTTAACACTAGAACTATTGGTTATTAAACTATTTAGATATTAAACTCTAACAACAATGACTAATATGTTACAACAATGCATATTCTCAGATCTTTCACTATTTTCATTACAATAGTCATGATTATTGATGTGACAGAAAGAAATATACGTTCATTTTCGGTAGTTCCAGTGTTAATTCAAGGTATAGTAATGGAATACTTTATCGAACAGTACACGAGAATAAAAGAATAAAAAAATTCATTTCAATGCTTATTCGACAAAAAAATGTATAAACTGCATTTAAAAAAATGTAAATGGCTCACGCTATTTTGATAATTTTTAATAACAAACAAAATTTTCTTCCCGCGACACGAATTAATAATTCCCACAGGTGTTGGAAGGAAAAACGCAGTACATGGAGTTTTCGGGCAACCTTGTGCCTGTATTAAAGAGCGGCGAGCAGCTTCAGCTGCCGTTCAGAGCATTCAAGGAGAATCGTGTTCCGTTCACGGCGCGAATAAAAGATCTGGACGCAACGGACATGATTGGCCGTATTATGTTCATGAGCGAACCCAAGGTCCCGAAGGGTGAACTACCCCAGACACCGATATGCACGTTAAATATCCTGCTGCCGGAAAAGATATCGCCGGAGCCCGCGGCCTCGGAGGTCGATCTGTTGGAGCTCTCGAAGAATTATAGTTTTCTACGCGACGGTGGCATAAGTACGTCGACTTTTGTTCCATGGATGAGCCGGAGATAGTACGACGGAGCAAGGGAAATCATCTAACCGTTGAATTTGCTTCCTTCAGGTCGTCCAGACACTATTCACAGAGCCACAATAAGATTGACCGATATCGCGAATCTGCTGGACTCGGACTGGGAGAAACTCGCGGAAGAATTGAATATTCCGCCGAACGAGGTGTTCTCCATTAAAGAAGAATATTCTAATAAACCTGCCCAGCAGGCTGCAGCGATGCTCAAGATCTGGCAGAATAACGGGAATAAAGCCACAGGTATGTTTGTATTTGATATTGCGTAATGTATCGTATTTACGTATCCCGGGGTTTCGAATCATTTTGTAACGAGTATCGTAAATTCTGTGGTCAGATGGCAAAATGTGATGTGTACAATTTTCGTTACAATTGAGATATATACTCTTTTCTGTGTATGTTTATTTAATCCTTTCTGGGCAGAATTTTAATTTTGAAATATTTTATGAATTTGCATGTAGAATATTCATACAGTTGTTTAAGAAGTGTTAAAATTCAATTTTGGATAAATTGTTTTTTTTTCATACTTCAGATAATATTAAAACCTAAAACACGACATCTGAAAACAAATTTCCAAGTTTGTTTGGCTACTTGTCGTTAGATAAAGGTAACAAATAGGCCGGTAAATAAATAATAGTAGATGATAGGCCTATATTATCGAACTTTGAAATGTGATATTGACGTGGCACCACTAAGCTAGAAAGGGTTAAAAAATAATGTGAATAAATTGACTAAACGCGAATTAACAACCACTTTTTGCAACCGCTAATACGAAAAATTGTGTTTTTCAAAATGTTGTAACTTTTCACATGTGAAAAAACTTTTGAACATCTGAAAAATCACGTTTTGCCATCTGACCACAGAATCATGCTATTTTGGATACGTTTTAATTGTCGGCAGTGTAGAAAACCTCGAGAAGTTCTCAATTTAAGCAAATCGCTTGGATGCGATAATTTTCACCCAAAACCTTTGGAATAGACGAGAACACAATGTTACAGAGAGATACCTGAAATATAATAGTTTGTTTGATAGCTATGGACATTTTTAAACAAACAAATAATTTATTTATCAGAACACTTTATCCTTTAATTTTTATAGTATTTGATTATAATGCATAAGGTTCCTAATTTCTCTAAGGAATGATCTTCTTTTATGAAACAGGATTCAGCGATATAAAACTGAATACAAAAGTGATTCTTCTAAAAAAATTTCATTGATTAAACATAAATTAACATTTTTACTGCTTAATTACTCATTTATTTATGTAGTAATTATACTTACGTACAGGTGGTACAAATATAAAGAAATACTTAGTAGAAACCTTTTTATAAATCCGTAAGGGTTTTTAAACTCTGTAAAGGACTTTTGGCGTTCAGCAATTTAAGTTTAAACAATCCATCATCTATATAAGTGTATATAACGTGTTTTTGTAAATGTTGATTGTATACACTTAAAATATTGAAAAAGTCTCTATTCACATGTGCCCCATAAGTTTTAATGTTTCCATGAGTAGCCGAAATTAACATTCCGGGTCAGGGGTAATTATATTTCACAAAATATAATTAATGTAATAGTACAATAAAAAGAAATGCATTGATTTTTCGTGTAAAAACTGTACATTTTAGAAATTCGTTGAATACGTTATCAGTACAGAACGCGACTTGGCTATCCTGTCTGCCCATTACTCACACACGTTTCTAGTTTTAAATATTGACGGTAGCATGTTGCACACATGTATCTGTTTTTCCGTGAACTTAACTATTTTTGAATTATTAGTGTATGTCAAGCTACTGCTGAAAACAGGTCTAACGATCCCATCACCTTGATCTACAATCATTAACACAAATAGAAGTCGCGACTAATGGCCCGACACGATAGCCAAGTTACGACCATTCCTGCACGTATTCCACGAATTATCGAAATCGATTTTCTCCATAATTGAAGGCTGGTTTGTACAAAAATGTATCATTGCACAAGGAATCGTCCCAATCATCGCTATTTTATAATATGGCCACATCGACTACCTTTTTTGCATTTTGAAGCGGTATTTGAATAAATAAAAATGTAATTATGTATACTTTTAACGCATCACACCTAATATTAAACATATTACCATACTTGCACTACTATTTTAGTACTATTATTTCAGCCGTATAAATACACTAGTAAAACATAACGTAAAATAATTCCACGAAATATAATTTTGTCATGTTTTACTCACCATCTTCTTGAATCAATGGGTACATATGAATGTCAAACATTTATTCTGTATTTAAAATTGTACGGAATATCTATTAATTTTTCATGTATTGAACATGTGAATGTTATTTTTACGTCTTTATCATTTTTTATCTTTTCAGCTTAACTATACAATTACCTACTTGGTTTCGAATACACTTACACAGAGTAACAAACGATCGTTTGATATTGCTATTATTTATACGTGCAAACATTTTTGTATTTCACTACCCCGTACACAGAGATCATTAATATCTTTTCCTTCACAAACAGTTGAAGTAATAACTCAAAATAAGTTCGGATATAAGATAAACAATATGTACAATTATACAATTCATAATCTTTGCATTTATATAATAAAAATATAGAAGAACAAGTACAAAGAAGCATTAGTTAATCTGCAAAAAATGGTACATGAAATATGTTAACAGAAAAATTATTATTCCGAGAATTTTTACACTGAATTAAATATTCTTCTATTATATTCCATGCAATTCATTATTTTCTTTCCATCAATCAATCATTCCAACAAAGTATCACTCATACTCCACGCCTATATTTCTCTGACGACTACACAAAAACATGAATCGAGCATCAGGGTTTTTGCCCAATCGGAGTTTGATAATCGAGCATCGCGTTGTTCTTTCTGAGGATGTTAGAACGATCCCGTGCAAAGACAAATGTTCGATCTAGTACCCAGATAGTAAAATTTAAAAAGAACCTGTTTCTTCGCAAGGTCAATTAATCAGACGCGCGCCTTTGACTAAGACTCGTGGAATCTGAGGAGCAACGTAGTTGGTGATCTCATCCCTGCATTATTATGCCTGACATAAACCTATGGACTCTTTTCTCTCCCCACCCCCCCCTCTTTATTGCCAATACTAATGACACTGACACACAGCAGCAATGCGCGTAGCACATCGTTTCTGTTCTGCAACCGGCACAAGTAAACAGACATTGCTGTCTATCCGCGCGAGAACACAGTGAAAGTGACAGTACATCGAGTGTCTTCCTTACCTATTTATTTTTTTTTCTTTTAAACATTTATGTGATACTCTGTGAATCCTTATTTTATTTATCCTTGGTGAGAACGTAAACGTGGCGATGTTTATATCTTTGTATCAAGAGTACGAAAACGAAGCGACTAACACGTACGTTAGTGAGCTATCGTTGCTATTTAGGAAGTCACCCGTACAGAGATGTCAGATTTCAATAAGTTCAGGTCTGTATCGTCGAGATATACAATATTGTCTCTGCGATGATGATACAGAATAATGGACATATAAACGAACTGTTGTTTCTTTTTTGTTTTTTTTTTGTTTTTTTTTCATTTTCAACGGATGTTTATTTTAACGTGTTTTCGGGGTGGATGTAAATAACAGTGACTTATACATTTCTGTTTTTATTTCGAGTCTTTAGCTAATATTTGAAAAAGAATTGATTCGATACAGAACATGTAAACATTTAAAGGAGATTAATCATTATACAGGGTGTTCCCAAAATTGTGGTATAACCGGCCGTGTTGGTTCTACATGCAAAAATAAGTTGAAAAAGAATAACATTTTTTCATTTAAAGCTTCGTTTTCGAGCTACTCGAATTTGAAAATTTTTTTAATACGCGTTCAGTAGAATAGGACCTGGCTAACATGTCTGTTCATTGCAAGCCGGTTATACTTACTATCATGAACGAATACACGCGTTTCAGATTATTTTTAAATTTCGATTTTCTCAAAAACGAAACCTCAAACGAAAAAAAATTTTTTTTATTGTTTTTTCTTATAAAGTTACCAGTACTCACCATCCAGCCGGTTGTACCATGATTTTGAAGACACCCTGTATATACAACTTTTAAGAGAAATTTCCATCGGTTTTTTAATATTCTATTACGAGTAATAGTGACACTAATGTTTGTGTTTTTATTTCGATGAAATAATTCGTAATATTCTTATAATGTTAGAAATCAGTGATTCCTAAGTAGTAATGAGAGCATTTAAAATTTAATGGAATATCTCTGAACAATTTGGATTGATTATTGCATAACTTATTTAAACAAATTAAATATCATCTCGATTGTTCCTTGACATTTAAGAGAAATGATTATTTTCTAAGGATCAAATAATTATCTAATGAATAATCATCAATTTATTTTACGTATTAGAAGAACCTTCTGATAATATATTAGATGCAATGTAAAGAAACTGTTATTTGAGTTATAAAATTAATGTATACAATATTAATTACAGGTATTGTTGCTCCTTAATAAATATAAATAAATTTCTATATGTAGGAAATTCTTTGGAAAAGGCGTTGAATAAGATTGGTCGTGAGGATATCGTGAAGAAGTGTATATTTAACGTGGAATTAGTGACTGACGACGTGGAAAAAGCAGTCGCCAGAGTTCGATTAGATCAACCTGGATTCGATTCTTTGAAAGAAGAATTGGGACCATCAAGGGATACTTCTCTACGACGTGACGCGAAAATGGATCCAAAGATGGATCCCGACTACGAACTCAATAGAACTAAGGTTTGTATTTCGAAGAGTTTGATAGTAATGACATTTAAAACACAATACAGTTAATAATAAAATATTATTCTGATTACAATAGTAATCTAATAATAAATATTACATAATTGTTCTAAGTAAAGTTATACAATGAAAAAGCAGTCGTAAAAAATTACATTTCAAAGTTAAAATTAAGACGTTTGGAGAAGTCAAATTTCTATGATAAACGTGGGGCACTTGAGACTCAAACTTTAAAGTTATGTTAAAATTCAGGCTAAAACTTTTGATGAAATGTTAATTCGGAATTTCGGTATGGGTCAAAAATGACCCGGTTCCCCCTCCAGAGGGTTAAATAATGTCTTTGCTGCAAAAAAAAAAAGAAATACATAATGAGCATGAGCAATTATATACATATGTAGATAGTTTTAAATAATCAAACACATATAACTTTATGCGTAATTTGTTCTGCAGGATTCGGAATCCATGGAAGACCTCAGCATTACTGGCACTAAACATGATACGCCAAGTATGTATTATAAAATCTTATTAACTCTTACCCATTTCTATTGAATTCTTATTAATAATATGTAATAAATACCCTACGGACGGAATACTCATTGAATACGTGATTACGACAGTAGCGAGGATATGACATCACTGCTTGCATTATTCTTGTGAATAATAAGCCGACTTTGTGTCATTGCTAAAGAAAATGCGTTAAACTAATCTTACATTTCTCTGAAAGCACTTTCATGATACGCCAATGCATTTCATGTGATTATTTGTGTAACATAATGTTTGCTGCAATTGCACTCTTATGTATTTTTCTTAATGCTTTATCCAGCGCTTTTACAAATAATGTTATTTAATGAAAGTTATCGCAAGTGATCTGAAATATATTGTACAAAATTAGGTAATTTAAATAATAATGAATAATTATGGTGTATGAATTCTATTTATAAAACACCAACTAGAGATACACATAGATATTAATCAGAGGTGAAAAGGTGCATTAATCCGCGGATCAATATTTTTCTATTAACTACATATACCGAATTTATGCTATACTATATCCCAAGAAAAATTAAATCAGAAGTGAAACACTATGGGCACATTCCAACATATACATTTACAAATTTACATGTACTTTTATTATAACTTATTATTTCTAAAAAAGTTTAATACGTAATATAATATAAAGTCGTATTTTAAGAATACTTTATATTAATACTTAATATTAACTGAATCCTTCATATTAAGATTTTGCAAATCTCATTATTGCAGCATTGGTTTCAACAATATCTTCAGCGTACAAATAAAAACAAAAAAATTATTTGAGATACTCCAGCTGGGGTGAAACATTCTTCTTTGCAAGAACAGTCTTGTTGTATGTTGTTAAAATAAGCTAATATTGTATATTCTGGACATATCAACATTAAAATGCAATATTATTTTTTAACAAACAAGTGATGTAATATATATACAAAATATTTTTCTGATTTTTTCCTTGTTAAAATAATGGAGAACAAGGATACATATTGTTAGTATCGCGTAATTTTCTGGTTTTATTAAAACTAATTACCAAAATTAATACAAAATAAACTATTACCCATTGGCAGACCTACTAATGTTTGGTGATAATAAGTGCATAAAATAATCGATTTCCCAGAAATAATGATTACAAAAATATGCGGCGAAGGAAGTATTAGGAACATCGAACATCGAAAAAAGAAAATATTCGAATCGCGAGATAGAATTAGGGATGAATCCATACAAGTAAATACGAGTACATTACTCGATACTTTTGTTTCGATATCGAGTACTTTTGGTATCGATACGTACAGTTGCGATACCAAGTAGGTATCGAAAAAAAGTACTCGTATCGAATGGAGTAAGTATCGACCCATCAACATTTGATATTGTAATTACTTTCAACACACAACAGTGTTGTTTATATTAATAATTAAGGAATGTGTATTTCAATATTTTCAATATTAAAATAATATAGGTATATATGGTTATATATTTAAGTAAATATATAAAGTATAGTATTCTATTTTATTTTCTCTTAAGGGGTTATGCCTACCTATAAATTTTGAAAAAATCGATTTTTAGGTTTTAATATTTTCTTACAGTACATCATTTTAGAAATATTGTGTGAAAATTTGAAGTTGATCCTACCAAAATTGGCGGAGTTACGCCCGTTCAAAGTATACGGCCTTGGAAGTTTCGGAGCAGATATAAAGTGGTAGAATCCCTTTTTAGGGGTGCGTGAATCATAAATACTGTGCCCCAATGCAATTTATGGTTGCGTTAGTAAATACACAAAGCTATATGAAGCCGTAATACTAAGAATAACTATGTATACAAAATCTGCATAGATTCAGTTGTAAAGCTGACTTGAAACTTTAAACGTGTTTTTCTCAAAACCACATTTTCTAAATCGGTGACCAAAATATCTCGAGAACCGCTGGACCGAACCGATTCAGCTTTGGTGGACTCATTCTATACATAAAAATCTAATGCCTGATCGTGGCTTTGTGTACGTCATTGTGTAGTTTTTATTTTATAGATTAAAAATGAACGATTTTTTTGGCGAAAATTGATACTTAGACTTTGAACAGCCGCCATTTTGTTGTCAATTAATTTTTCAGGATAATGAACGATCGGGCACTTATATTAACAAAATTTGCTCGGATTTTTTATTTTAGATAAACGAACTCGAAGTTACACTGGTCACTGCAAAACGCCTAAAATGAAAACGACGCCGGGTGATGGCTGATATTTCTCCTATTTATTTATATTTTGCATTGAAGAAATTATTATAAGTACTTTAAAATGTATACTTTCAAATACAATGACGTATACTTAAAAAAGTCTTCAAGTTTATTAAAAATAAATTCCAAAAGTACTTGTCTTTTTTCGAGCTTGCAGATAGGCATAACCCCTTAAGGTATAAACAACTTTTGTATTGGGTATCAAGGTTAGGGAAATATAATTCGATACAAGTAGGTATCGATACTTTTGTTTCGATACCGAGTAAGTATCGATACCTTGACAGTATCGATTCAATCCTAGATAGAATCAAAGCCAATCAACTGGATAGAGTGATACTCGCTTTACCATATTTTGTCTTTTAACTTGTTGTGCTTCTACGACCATATCGACTGGCTCTCTGTCACGCCGTTTAAATCACTGTCTCTCTTCTGTTTCTTGCACTAAACAGCGAAACAGCATGTCACGATCACAAACGGCACTGTGTTCAACGGAACCTCGACCCCCATCAAAGATAAGTACGCGAGCGACGAGAAAGAGCTTGGGGACGTTATGGCCGAGTTTCTCGAACAGAAGTGTCACGTTGCCGACACGATGAGTAAAAAGTCACGGGACGAGGTTGACGAGGACGAAAGACGACAGAGGGTGATCGCGGACGCCAATCGAATTGTATCCGGTAAGTCGGTTTCCGTTCCCGTTGAGAAAAAATATGGTGGGTTGAGGGGCCGCGCTTCAACTAGCTGCCACAATAAAATATCAGCTGAGAACATTAAGAGCTGTAATTTCGTCGCGATTATCATGTGCGATTACATTGTCTATTTTCCGAAAATACGCAGCATGAACGATTTTAATGCGATAATATCACGCTTGGTTCGAGGACAACGACATATTATTAACCATTCATCTATCAATTCTGAATCACTAGTGCTCTATAAATAGCTCTCTATCAAAGATTTCGCTTCTAGTGACATCGTGTTCATTGCTATAGTTTATCGCTATCTGCAAGAAAATACGATGGAATTTTTTTTGTAAAATGTCTACGTGTAAATATTTAAATGCGTGTACAGGTATACTCAGTGATACCTGAATTCGTAAAGCTTCAGTAGATTAGAGGCTGTATTTATAATTCTTTGATTTAGTATTTATTTTTAGACAACAATTAGTTGACAATTACTAAAACTGTAATGATTTTAATGTATGCTATAATTTGTCTGGTTCTATTGTATACATACAATTACATTTCATAATATTATAGTGTAAAAAATATAATTCATATTGAATTGCAGAAAGAGATACGATATTTGACTTGAATTTTGTAGTTTCAGATATCACTTTATACTGTAAAAGTTTGGACATTAGTTTCTTTCTTTTTGTTATTTTAATGCGTCATCTTGTATATTTTCATTACAATCGCTTCATTCTTCACTTTACGAGGCGTAAAAGAAGTACAGAGTCCATTAGTAAATTTTACAAGAAATAACAATTTCAAGTAAATTTCGTTTTTTTAATCGGTTTGTTGTACTTTACTATCTTTCTATTTTATCACAAGTAATAAAGTAAACAAAATTTCTACTATATTATTATATCTACTATATAACTATATTATTATATAGATATATACATATACTATAATATTGAATTATTCCTCAAAAACTTTTGTATAAGTAATTTTAACCTAGAAAAGTAATTATGTGTGTATATAATTAAAACCAGGCATAGTTCAAAGGAAGTCATTTTTTACTTCTACTGACTTACTTTTATACAAGAAATCATTTATGGACGTAACGGAATGTGGCGAGAAAGACATAATTTTATCAAGAACAGAATTGATGTTTGAAATAAAAATATGAGTTGCAATAATGAAATAATTGTCTCTTTCATAAAATTTCATTTCAAAAACAGTTATATTATTGGTAGACGTTTAATGTGTTTCGTATTATTGTCTTCTTATTGAAGAGAAATGTGTTCGATTGAATATAATTGTAAGGATTTTTTATATTGTTTAATTTTATAAAATTGAGAGACAACTAGAAATAGAAGGATACTTGATAGATTTTTAAATTCATCTTTTTGTCGAATGACAGTTTGATGAATGATAATTATATTTCTAATTGCGACTTTTTTTTATCAAATCTCTGTTCCGAACGCTACATGGTGAATCAATTCAATTAATGTGAATCGGAAAAAAGACACTAAGATATCATATTTGATTCTAAAGATGCAGAAAAATATATAAATATAGGACAAACTATAGTTTCCAAGGACAAAAATACTGAAAACATTCTTTTCTCTCCGATTTGTAATCTTCATTACCATTTTCTTAAATAAAATTTATTTTTTTATTACTTGAACAGGTGAATTATTATTGTTGGTATCGCCAAAAAGCGATTCTTCGTGAAAAAATGAATCAAAATTCTAGAATACAGTTTTTCCATTAAATGCTCCGATTTTTACAAACTTTGTAAAGCTTATCTTATGCACATGCAATTGTACTTGAATAAGTAGAATCGACAAGGAATGGAAAGGCACGTTAGCCATGCCATACTCAATAGCACGCGTACCCAACAAATTTTCAACGACAGTTTTCCATTCCAATTTTCCAAACCATTCTACGTATAAGCAAGGAAATAGACTGCAAACTGTGTTTTGTTCCACAAAATCCTTTATATTCTGTCCTAGATGTTTTTCTGTGTCTTGAAGTGTTTCATTCTTCTGACTTACTTTAATATAATAAAAGATAATTTACCTTAAAATTATACAGTACTGATAAAATTATAACAACTTGACCGTAATAATTCTTGGAAAATACATTTCTTTGGCGGTTCTGTATTCATTAACGAAGGGTGTGGATTTTATTAAGATTATTAATATTTGAGGAATTAACATTTAAGGAAATCCGTGGTCTTCGTTAGTTAATACAGCAAATACTAAAGAAATTCATCTTCAAGGAATTATTACGCTTAAATTGTTATAGTTGTTTTCGGTACTGCAATAATATACGATTCGTAATAAACCTTTCAAAAACAACTCCTATGTGACATGTACAGCACACCACGAATTGTTGAACAACATACCTGACTTTTACCTAGAAATTGACAACAACAGCAACATTTTTCACAGGCGTAGTTTTTTCCATTTGTGTTGAGGACTAGGCTACATATGTTTTTTTTTTCAAACTATAGCACAGCATTGATTCTGGACACGATTCACGAAGCGTGAAAGTTCTTAGTTTAATGGAAGATTCTCGGCACTAGAACATTTTACTTCTTTTATTTTATCATCTATTCTACTTTCACTCACAGGTTCTGGAGCGCCGATGCGGAGTCTCTTCGAATCGATCAGCTTGCTTTTATTTTAATTACATAACGAGACTATTTACTTTTTTTTTCTCTTTGCCTTTAAAACGTACTATTCATATCGACTGTATTATAATGCGAACTCTGTGTCTCATTTTAATGACCCACTAATAGCCTTCTATCTCTTCGACACTTTCGTCCCATTAATTTGTTTCAGCAAGGTTCCGCTGCAATTTTTTGACGTTGCATGAACGGCCGATATGTGTGGCCTAACTGTGCGGACGCACGGAGCAGCTGTTACAATCCTTTAAACTATAATTTATTCCGATAACACATGTATTTTCTATAGAGTGATTACTAAACTGCGGATTTTATACAATTATATTATTCGCATACTTTCGAAACAGTATATTAAGAAACTTCATTGAAACTCCCATTACATTTTACTAGAAATCCAACAAAACCAAAACTAGAAAGCAAAATTTTTATTCCGATTTCATTTTTATAAATTTGTCCCTAAAAATATATGTATAGTTGCATATTCTCCCGTAGTTTAGTAACAACGTGTCGCGCTGATATTTCAATCCATCGATTGTACATTAAATTAAAATTGTAAAAGTGATACCAGTATTAGTGATTGGATACTCAAATTTTTATTATTATTGTGGTACACTTATTTTACACAATGGTTCTTCCATCAGAGAATTTGGAATGCACTATTATGCAGTATGGACCGCTGGGGTCATGCATGATATCAAAAATGACATTACAATTGGTTGTACTAAAGTTTTAAATTCGGCTGTTCAAATGAAACTCGAGAAAGTACGAACGAAATTAAATGTTTTTTGATAGCTGCTCCACGGTACACACACTCCACGCACAAACCACACACGAGAGTCTAACCGCTGTTCTCAAAACAAACAGCAATATCGAGAAAGCTGGCTTACACTAATCATGACGAAATTAAATTAAACAAACAAAAAAAAAACAATCAAATGTGTTCCTCTAATTTTGCCACGTTTACAGATGCCTAAAATATGTAATACTTAATTAACAGGTGTAATAGCAGACGCAGAGAAAGAGAAGGGGAAGTTAGCGAAGGAAGGGTGGTCGGTGGTTTGTGATGATGATGATGCGCGGGACAATAAAGAGGCAAGAGGTGCTGTAGTTCAAAGTTTCGTTAGGGATCAGTTGGGTGAGAGGGAGCTTAAGGATAAGGGGATTAGATCGGACAAGCCTGTTATGGAACAGGCGCAAGGCGTGCCGGTAATCGAGCCGATGATAATTAAACAGCATTATGTTCGCGACGGAAAGGGCGATGCGAATGTAACGATCGTCGCGTCGACAACGGTAGTTACAGTTAGCGACAGTAAAATGGGCCAGTCACCTGTAGTTACTCAGACCATTACGGTGAAAGAGGTGGATCAGATTTTGCCGAAGGAGACAGTGGCAATTAATAATGGTAAACAGAGTATTGTAAGTAAAAAAGAACTGTTGTCTAAAGAAGGTAAGGACATCGACGAAAAGTTAACTGCACCTGTGATTCCTACGAAAGACGGTACGAAGCAGATGATAGGGAAAGTTAAAGAGGCTAAACAAAATGATCAGAAACAGCCAGTGGTTAAAGAGACCACTGTTAAACAAAACATTCCAAAAGAAACGAAACCCATTACCGATAAACAAGTGTCTGCTTACGAAGACGTTTATACTGCTCAGTATACTTCTACGCAATCCGATGAAAAACAGGAGGACGAAGCAAAGAAATCGAAAGATAAGAGCGGCGGTATACTTTCGGGCATTTTTAAAGGGTCAAAACTTAAAAAGAGTAGAACTGGCTCGAAGGACACCTCGTTTGACAGCGGGGATGAAGAAGCAAAAGTGGCTCCTGCGCTAGCTGGACAAGAGATTCATGATGAATTCAAGTACACTGAAAGTGTTACAGCTCCGGACGTAAAATTAGCTACCATGCAGTTCTTGGATGACTCGAGGCGAACTGCTGCGGTTATGCACCCGGTATCTGAAGACACGAGCCGACAAGAAACTAAACACGATACAAAAACGACGACTAAAGATACACCTGAGAGTGTCGCAGTCGTAACAAGCGATTCAAGCGAACACGAGAAAGAAAAGGGTGGCACTGGTTTCTTCGGCATATTCAAGAGTCCTAAGTCGAAAGAAAAGAAAATGAAGAAGTCCAAAGACGCATCATTCGACAGTGGCGACGAAGAAGTGCGAATTGCCACCGAGAAATTGCTGGATGATACACGAAAAGTCGCTGAGAATACGCTCGTTTCTCCGACGTCAAAGGTTGACGATAAACAACCAGTCATTAAAGATGAAGTGCATACCTTCGCGTCGCATGTTCAGTACGACGGGGATATGCCCAAAGAGAAATTAAACGGACACTCGTACGATATTGCAGAGGTCCAGAGGAAAGCAGAAATCGACAGAAGTACACCGCAGAAAGATATGAACGGAAAGTCGGACATCAGCAAGCATAAAGACATTCGACAGAAAGAACGAAGTTTAGAAAGGCAGGTCGATATCAAAAAGGAACGAATGGATGATGAAAAGGAACTGAGTGAAGAAGGCAAAGATAAAAGCGGTGGTTTCTTCAGCATGTTCAAGAGTCCGAAACTGAAGAGCAAAAAGAGAAGCGCGTCGAGAGAGAAGAGTTCCTCTAAAGAAACATCCTTCGATAGCGGAGATGAAGAAACACGACATGTAACAGCCGCCTTCTTAGAGGAAGTCAGGAGAACTGCAGATAGTATGCATCATGAAGACGATATATCAAAAACTGTCAACGTAGCTGATGTAGGACCCGCGGAAAAAGACAAGGGAAGCGGCATTCTTGGCATGTTCAGAAGTCCGAAACTGTCGAGAGAGTCAAGAAGTAGGTCACGCGAGAAGAGCACCGCACTAGAAGAAGCGGTAAAACCTGTGGACAAATCATTACGTGAAAGTACTGCAAAATTCTTAGAAGATACACAAAATATTGCAAATGCTACTGTAGATACTGCGGATAAATTGCATGAAACTGGTAAATCTCTTACTGACGACTCGAAAGCAGAAACGACGAAATTGTCGAAAGAAATTCAGGAAGACACTAAGAAAGCAAAGGAAAAGGGAGGAGGTTTCCTCTCTGGTTTGTTCAAAGGAGCTAAACATGCAGCTGAGGAGGTTTCCGAAGATGCCAAAGAGTTTCTTGATGACACAAAGAAAGAAGCAGCAGAAGAGGAAGCGAAAATACGAGAAGCAGCGGTCGAGAAGATAAAGGATGCCGAGACTGCAAAGGATACAGCCGTAACTGATGTGAAAGATGGTAAAAGCAAAGTTATCGCTGCAGTGAAGGATGCTAAAGACACAGTCAGCGAAAAAGTTTCAGACGGAGTTCAGAAACTGTCCGATGCTGGCAAAGCTGCTGGAGACAAAGTATCTGACAGTGCTGAACAGGTTCAAGATAAAACAAAGGCAGTTGTTCAAGAGATAGACGACGGGGCCAAAGTAACAAAGGATAAAGTATCCAAAGAAATCAAAGAAGATGTAGATGTAGTTAAACAGAAAGTTACATCGGGAATAGATGCAGGTGCTGATGGCGCAGAAGCTACGAAAGACAAAGCTGTTAAGGAAGCTAAGAAAGCGAAGGAAAAAGCTAGTGGCTTCCTCTCTGGTTTATTCAAAGGAGCCAAACACGCGGCTGATGAAGTCTCTGAAGACGTCAAGGAATTCCTCGACGACACGAAGAAAGAAGCAGCGATAGAGGAAGCGAAAATACAAGACGCAGCGGCCGATAAAATAAAAGATGCGGAGTCTGCAAAGGATAAAATCATTGGTAGTGTAAAGGATGGCGCGGACAAGCTTGTTGTAGCTGCAAAGGACACCAAGGACAAAGTGAGTGATAAGGTTGCTGGCGGTGTTCAGAAGGCGTCCGATGCTGGGAAAACGGTTGGAGAAAGAGTGTCCGAAGGAGCTAAACAGATTCAGGATAAAGCGAAATCAACAGTTCAGGGTGTGGCTGACGGTACCATAGCTGCAAAGGACAAAGTAGCCAAGGAAATTAAAGAGGATGCTCATGCCGTAAAAGACAAGATTTCATCAAGCGTGGATGCAGTGGCTGGCGGTGCAGAAGCTACCAAGGATAAAGTTGCGAAGGAAGCTAAGAAAGCGAAGGAGAAAGGAAGCGGCTTTTTCTCTGGCATCTTTAAGGGTGCAAAACATGCTGCTGAAGAAGTTTCCGAAGACGTCAAGGAGTTCCTTGATGATACGAAGAAAGAAGCAGCAAAAGAGGAGGAAAATGTGCGAGATGCAGCGGCACAAAGGTTGAAAGATGCCGAGAAAGCAAAGTCTAAAGTTGTGGCTGATGTAAAAGATGGCAAAGGAAAAGTTGTTTCTGTAGCGAAGGACGTAAAAGAGAAATTTAGCGATAAAGTATTAGATGGAGTTCAAATAGTGTCTGATGCTGGCAAAGCTGCTGGAGACAAAGTGTCTGATGGTGCTAAACAAGTTGAAGATAAAGTAAAAACTACAACTGAAGATGTAGGTAACAGCATCAAGGATGCAAAGGATAGAGTATCTAAAGAAGTTAAAGAGGATACTCAGATCGTGAGGGATAAAATTTCATCAGGTGTGGAGACAGTTGCTGATAGTGCAGAAGCGGCAAAAGACAAAGCTGCAAAAGAAGCTAAGAAAGCCAAGGAAAAGGGCAGTAGTTTCCTTTCTGGTTTGTTTAAAGGAGCAAAACATGCAGCCGACGAAGTTGTCGAGGACGTCAATGATTTCTTGGATGAAACGAAGAAGGAGGCAGCTGAAGAGGAAGCAAAAGCCCGAGAAGCAACAACTGAGAAAATACAAGATTTGAAAGCAGCAAAGGACAAGGCAGTAACTGATCTAAAGGATAGTACAGACAAAGTTGTTACGGTTTCAAAAAGTGCTAAAGACAAAGTTGGTGACAAAATATCCGGCGGTGTGCAGAAGGTATCTGATACGGGAAAAGTAATCGGTGAAAAATTATCCGAAGGCACTAAACTGATCGAAGATAAAGCAAAGGCTAAGACACATGACGTTACTGACAGCACCAAAGCTGCAAAGTATAAAGTTTCCAAGGAAATTAAGGATGAGACGGAAGCTTTGAAGAACAAGGTAGCTTCAGGGTTTGATACAGCTGCTGATACTGCTGCAGCGGCGAAGGACAAAACTGTAAAGGAAACTAAGAAAGCGAAAGAGAAAGGCAGTGGCTTCCTCTCTGGCTTGTTTAAAGGAGCCAAGCATGCAGCTGACGAAGTTACTGACGATGTCATCCATTTTGTTGATGAGACTAAGAAAGAAACAACTGCAGAAGAAGCTAAAGTTCGAAGGGCGGTGGAAGAGAAGTTGAAAGATGTGGATAAGGTGAAGGATGATGCCGTAGTTGACATAAAAGATGTTAAAGATAAAGTTTCAACTACTGCAAAGGACATCAAAGATAAAACCACGGAGAAAGTATCTGACGGGCTACAGAAGGTATCCGAAGTTGGTGACGTAGTTGGTGACAAACTGTCAGATCGCGCTAAAGAAACTAAAGTGAAAGCACAGACGTCTGCGAAAGGTATTTCTGATGGTGTCAAAGGAACTGCTGATATAGTCACCAAAGAAATTAAAGACGACGTAGATGCAGTAAAACACGCCGTTATTTCTGGAACGGAGACTGTTGCTGAGAGTGCAGATGCAACGAAGGATAAAGCTGTAAAGGAAGCTAAGAAAGCCAAAGAAAAGAGCAGCGGATTTCTTTCTGGTTTATTTAAAGGTGCCAAGCACGCAGCTGAGGAAGTCACTGAGGAAGTGAAGGAATTCCTTGATGAAACGAAGAAGGAGGCGCAAGAAGAGGACACTAAAATTCGAGAAGCAGTTGCTGACAAAGTGAAAGATGCCGAAGCTGCAAAAGACAAAGGCATAGCAAATGAGACAAATGCTAAGGATAAAGTTGCTACTATTGCCAAAAATACTAAACACAAAGTTGGTGAAAAAGTGTTTGAGGGAGTGCAGAAAGTATCTGATGCAGGTAAAACTGCCACCGAGAAATTGTCAGAAGGTGCTAAACAGGCTGAAGTTAAAGCTCAAGAGGTTACCCATAGTGCGAAGGCCGCAAAAGATAAGGTGTCAAAAGAAATTAAAGAGGATGTGGAAATGGTAAAGCAAAAGGTTATATCTGGTGTCGATGCAGTTGTTGATGGTGCAGACGCTGCGAAAGACAAATCTGCAAAAGAAGCTAAGAAAGCTAAAGAAAGAGGCAGTGGCTTCCTTTCTGGTTTGTTCAAAGGTTCAAAACAAGCTGCCGACGAGGTCTCCGATGACGTCAAGGATTTCCTTGATGAAATGAAGAGGGAATCATCAGAGGAGAAGACCAGTGCTGCAGAAGCCGCAACAGAAAAAATAGAACAAATCCAGACAACCAAGGACAATGCAATATATGGTATCAAAGACACCAAGGAAAAAGTTTCTGATGCTGCAAAGGACGCTACCAGTAAAGTTAACGAGGCAGTGTCTGATGGAATTCAGAAAATTTCCGACGCTAGTAATGCTGTGGAAGAAAAATTGTCAGAAGGTGCTAAACAGGCTGCAGTTAAAGCACAAGCAGCAGCTCAAGAGATTACCGATAGTGCAAAGGTCGCAAAAGATAAGGTGTCAAAGGAAATTAAAGAAGATGCAGAAATGGTGAAGCAAAATGTTACATCTGGTGTCGATGCAGTTGTAGATGGTGCAGAAGCTGCGAAAGACAAAGCTGCAAAAGAATCGAAGAAAGCTAAAGAAAGAGGCAGTGGCTTCCTTTCTGGTCTGTTCAAAGGTTCAAAACAAGTTGCCGACGAGGTCTCCGATAACGTCAAGGATTTCCTTGTTGAGATGAAGAGGGAATCATCGGAAAGCAACATATGGTATCAAAGACACTAAGGAAAAAGTTTCTGATGCTGCCAAGGATGCTGCAAGTAAAGTTAACGAGACAGTGTCTGATGGAGTTCAGAAAATCACTGATGCTGGTAAAGCTGTTGGAGAAAAATTGTCTGAAAGTGCAAAACAGTCTGAAATCAAAGCACAGGCAGCCACTGACAGCATTAAGGATGCAACAGATAAAGTATCCAAAGAACTTAAAGATGGTTCTCGTGCAGTGAAGCAAAAAGTTTCATCTGGAGTAGACACAGTCGCAGATACTGCAGAAAGTGCAAAGGATAAAGCTGTAAAGGAGGGTAAGAAAGCCAAGGAAAAGGGTAGTGGATTCCTTTCTGGCTTGTTTAAGGGTGTAAAGCATGCGGCTGAAGAAGTAGCTGAAGACGTTAGTGACTTTGTCGACGAAACGAAGAAAGAAGCCACAGAAGAGGAAGCGAAAATGCGAGAGGCAGCGGCCAAGAAGATGAAAGATGCTGATACTGCAAATGATAAAGTCGTAGCTAGTGTTAAAGATAGTGCAGATAAGGTTGTTTCTACTGCAAAGGACACCAAGGATAAAGTCAGCGATAATGTTTCTGTCGGAGTTCACAAAATATCCGGCGCTGGGAAAACCGTTGGAGAGAAAGTGTCTGACGGTGCTAAGCACATACAGGATAAAACAAAAGCAGCTGCTCTAGAGGTAGCTGATGGAGCCAAATCAACAAAGGATAAAGTATCCAAAGAAATTAAAGAAGACGCGGATGTCGTAAAACAGAAAGTTACATCAGGAATAGCTGCTGTTGCTGATAGCGCCGAAGCTACGAAGGACAAAGCCGCGAAGGAAGCTAAAAAAGTAAAAGAGAAAGGAAGTGGGTTCTTCTCTGGAATCTTTAAGGGTGCAAAACATGCAGCTGAAGAAGTTTCCGAAGACGTCAAGGAGTTTCTTGACGATACGAAAAAAGAGGCAGCTGAGGAAGAAGCCAATGCTCGCGACGCAGCTGCTGAGAAGATGAAAGATGCCAAGGCAATGACGGACAAAGCAGTAGCTCAGGCGGAAGATGTTAAAGACAACGTTACTGCTACAGTAAAGGATACCAAGGACACAGTTGGTGAGAAAGTCACTGATGGAGTTCAGAAAGTGTCCGATGCTGGTAGAATTGTCGAAGAAAAACTTTCTGATAGAGCTAAACAAATTGAAGATAAAGCAAAAGTTACAGTTCAGGATGCTGCTGACGCTGCCAAAACTGCAAAGGATAAAGTGTCCAAGGAGATTAAGGATGACGCTGAGGCGTTAAAATATAATGTTTCTTCAAGCGCAGATGCAGCTGCTGACAGTACAGAAGCCGCAAAAGCCAAAGCTGCAAAAGATGCAAAGAAAGTGAAGGAAAAGGGTAGTGGTTTCCTCTCTGGTTTGTTCAAGGGAGCCAAGCATTCTGCCGAAGACGTTTCGGAAGATATGAAGGATTTCATCGATGAAACAAAGAATGAAGCAGCTGAGGAAGAAGCTCTGGCTCGTGAAATGGCTGCAGAAAGACTAAAAGATTTTCAATCGACCAAGGACAAAGCAATATCCGATGCAAAACATGCTAAAGAAAACTTGGAAACTGCTGCAAAAGACGCGAAGGATGAAGTAACTCAAAAAGTTTCTGACGGAGTGCAGAAACTTTGTGATGGTGGCAAAGCTATTGGCCAGAAAGTTACTGAGAGTGCCACAGAAACTGCTGCTAAAGCTCAGTCAACTGCAAAGGACATAGCTGATACTGCAGGCGAAGCGACAGATAAAGCAGTTGCAGGTCTAGACCATGTGAAAGACAAACTTTCATTTGTTGCAGTGCACACGAAAAACAAAGTAAGCGAGACATTGTCGGACGGTCTTGAAAAGATGTCCGATGCTGGTAAAAGCGTAGGTGAAAAATTATCAGATAGCGCTAAACAGGTGGAAGCAACAACAAGAGCCACAGCGCAGGAAGTGTCTGATGGTGTGAAAAAAGCAAAGGATAAGGCGGCGTCAGAAATTAAAGAAGACGCGAAAGTGATAAAGCAAAAGGTTTCATCTGGCGTCGATGCAGTTGCTGATGGTGCAGAGGCTGTAAAAGATAAAGCAGCGAAAGAAGCTAAAAAAGCGAAGGAAAAAACTGGTGGCTTCCTCTCTGGCTTGTTCAAAGGTGGCAAGCATGCAGCTGAGGAAGTTTCTGAAGATGTTAAAGAATTCCTCGACGAAACTCGCAAAGAAGCAGCAGAAGACGGAGCAAAAGTGCGAGAAGCAGCAACGGAAACTGTAAAAGAAGCTGAAGCAGCAAAAGACAAAGCAATATCCGGCGTAGTGGAAGCTAAAGAAAAAATGATTACTGCTGCTAAGGATGCTAAAGATAAAGTAGGCGAAAAAGTATCTGATGGAGCACAGGAGGTGATTGATGCCAGTAAAGTCGTTGGTGCAAAATTATTCGAAGACGTTAAACAGGTTGAAGCCAAAGGGAAGGCTGCAGCGCAGAGTGTAACTGATAGTGCCAAGGCAACAAAGGAAAAGGTTATACAAGAAGTTAAAGAAGATGCAGAAGCGATAAAGGATAAAGTATCCTCAGGAATTGACACTACGGCAGACACAGCAGAAGCAGCGAAAGATAAAGCTGTGAAAGAGGCTAAAAAGGCCAAGGAAAAGGGCAGTGGCTTTCTCTCAGGTTTGTTCAAAGGTGCGAAACATGCTGCCGATGATGTATCAGATGACGTCAAAGAATTTGTTGATGAATCTAAGAAGGAAACGGCGAGAGCAAAGGATAAAGCCCAAGAAATAGCAAAAGACAAGTTGAAAGATATTGAAGCCACAAAGGACAAAGCAGTAGCGGGTGTTAAGACTAGTAAAGAAAAAGCCATCACAACTGTGAAGGACGCTAGTAATGTTGTCAACAAAAAAATATCTCACGAAGTTCAGAAAGCATCCGATACTGGAAAAACTGTTGGAGCGACACTGGCGGAGAACGTGAAACAAACCGGGGATAAAGTGCAGGATACAGCTAAAGGCGTAGTGGATGGTGCCAAAACTGCAACAGATAAGGCATCAAAGGAATTGAAGGAAAACGCTGAGGAGATAAAGGACAAGGTTTCATCAGGAATAGGCGCTGTTTCCGATAGTGTTCACACGACAAAAGACAAAGCTACGAAAGAAGCTAAAGAAGCGAAAGAAAAGGGTAGCGGCTTCCTCTCTGGTTTACTAAAAGGTGCAAAACATGCGGCTGACGAAGTATCCGAAAACATACATGAATTCGTCGATGAAACGAAAAAGGAAGCCGCAGAGGAGGAAGAAAAAGCACGAGAAGCTGCTGCGAAAGAATTGAAGGACGTCAAGGCAACAAAGGATAAGGTATTAGATAATTTAAAAGATGCCAAGGACAAAGCTACAGCTGTCGCAAAGGACGCCAAAGACAAAGTGAGTGACACAGTGTCTCAAGGAGTACAGAAAATTTCTGATGCTAGTAAAACTGTCGAAGAAAAAGTATCAGAAACTGCACAGCAGGTTGAAGCTAAAGCGCAGGCAGCAGCTCATGAGGTGACAGAAGGCGCTAAAGATGCAAAGGATAAATTATCTAAAACAATTGAGAAGGACGCAGAGACAGTTAAAGAAAAAGTTGCATCAGGAATAGTTGCAGTCGCTGATAGCTCGGTAACTGCAAAAGATAAAGCCGCAAAGGAAGTAAAGAAAGCCAAGGATAAGGGCAGTGGTTTCTTGTCTGGTTTGTTCAAGGGTACCAAAAATGCTGCTGATGAAGCGACCGATGACGTGAAAGACTTTCTTGACGAAATGAAGAAAGAGGCCGCGGAAGAACAGGCTAAAGCTCGAGAAGCCGCATCAGAAAACTTAAAAAAAATTGGTACAACGAAAGAAAAAGTAGTAACCGATGTAAAAGAAGCTAAAGACAAAATTTCCGCTACTGCAAAGGACGTCAAAGAAAAAGTAACTGAAAAAGTGACCGATGGGATACAAAAGGTAGCAGACGCTAGCAAATCGGTGGGTGAAAAAGTTTCAGAAAGCACTAAACAAGCAGAAGTCAAAGCACAGGTAGCTGTCAGAGGCGTAGCTGATGGTCTCAAAGAAGGAGCAGATAGAGTGTCCAAAGAAGTAAAGGAAGACACCGTAGCAGTGAAAGAAAGAATTTCTTCCGGGATACATGCTGCAGTTGATAGTACTGAAGCTGCAAAGGACAAAGCCGCGAAGGAAGCTAAGAAAGCGAAGGAAAAGGGCAGTGGCTTTCTCTCTGGCTTATTTAAGGGTGCCAAGCATGCAGCTGATGAGGTGTCCGAAGATGTCAAGGAATTCCTAGATGAAACGAAAAAAGAAGCATCGGAAGAACAAGCCAAGGTTCAACAAGCAGCAGCGGAGAAGCTTAAAGGTATAGAAACAGCGAAAGACAAAGTAGTAGCTGATGTGCAAGATTCCAAGGATAAAATTGCTACTGCTGCAAAGGATACAAAAGAGAAATTGAGTAATAAAATTTCCGAGGGAGTTCAGAAGGCATCTGAGGTTGGTAAATCCGCCGAAGACAAAGTAAAAACGACTACTAAAGAAATAGTAGATGGCATGGAACAAGCGAAGGATAAAGTTGTCACGGATTTAAGTCAGACTAAGGACAAAGCTGGAGGTGCACTAAAAGATGCTAAAGATGCAGTTACCGAAAAAGTATCCGATGGTATTGAGAAGTTATCAGATGCTACTAAACTTGTAGGACAAAAGCTTTCGGAAACTGGTCAACGGACTGAAATCAAAGCACAAGAGGTTGCCAAAGATATTGCCGATGGTGCAAGATCAACAAAGGACAAGCTATCTGAGAAAATTGAGGACGATACTGTCGCGGTGAAGCAGAAACTTCAATCAGGATTGGATGCAGTCGCTGATGAAGCCGATGTAGCTAAAGATAAAGCTGCGACAGAAGCTAAGAAAGTTAAAGAAAAGAGCAGCGGTTTCCTGTCTGGTATCATTAAAGGAGCAAAACATGCAGTCGAGGAAGTTTCTGAGGACGTCAAAGAGTTTCTCGATGAAACGAAGGAAGAAGCGGCTAAAGAGGAAGCTCGTGCCCGTGAAGCAGCTGCAACAAAACTGAAAGATGTCGAAACAACAAAAGATAAAATTATTGCTGAAGTCAAAGATGATAAAGACACAGTTGCTACTACTATGAAGGATACTAAGGATAAAGTCACCGAGAACGTATCTGGTGAAATTCAAAAGGTGATCAATGCGGGGAAAGCAGTAGGTGAAAAAGTCTCTGATGGAGCTAAACAAGTATCCGATGCGGGGAAAGCTGTAGGTGAAAAAGTCTCTGATGAAGCTAAACAAATTGAACATAAAACAAAAAGTGCGACTCAAGAAATGGCTGACAGAACCAAGGCTATAAAGCATAAGATGTCTAGGGAAATTAAGGAGGACGTTGAGGCTGTGAAAGGCAAGGTTTCATCAGTTGCAGATAGTGCCGAAGCAGCAAAGGAGAACGCTGCAAAAGAAGCTAAAAAGGCTAAGGAAAAAAGCAGTGGTTTCCTATCTGGTCTGTTTAAAGGAGCAAAACATGCAACTGAAGAAGTTGTCGATGACGTCACTGATTTCCTTGACGAAACAAAGAAAGAGGCTGCTGATGAGGAAGCAAAAATGCGAGAAACAGCTGTACAGAAAATAGAAGACACCAAGTCTACAAAGGATAAAATCGTAGCTGATTTAAAAGACGGAGCAGACAAAGTTGTTGGTACTGCAAAGGACGCCAAGGATGTAGTCAGCGATAAAGTTTCTGGTGGGGTTCAAAAGGTTTCCGATGCTAGTAAAACGGTTGGCGAAAAAGTATCTACGGGAGCCAAACAGATTCAGGATGGAGTGAAAACAACAGCTCAGGATGTAGTTCACAGAACAAAGGCTGCAGAAGACAAAGTGTCCAAAGAAGTTAAAGAGGAGACTCATATTGGAAAAGACAAGATTTCATCGGGCGTCGAGGCAATTGCTGACAGTGCAGAAGCCGCAAAAGACAAAGCTACAAAGGAAGCTAAAAAAGCGAAGGAAAAGGGAAGTGGTTTCCTCTCTGGCATATTTAAGGGTGCCAAACATACAGCTGATGATGTGTCCGAAGATGTCAAGGAGTTCTTGGATGAAACTAGGAAGCAAGCAGCGGCCGAACAGGCCAGAGTACGAGAAGAAGCTGCTGATAAAGTAAAAGATGTGGAATCGATAAAAGACAAAGCAGCAGCTGACCTTAAAGATGCACGGGACAAAGTTTCAACTGTTGCAAAAGACACTAAGGATAAAATCAATGAAAAAGTGTCTGATGGAGTGCAAATGATAGCCGACACTGGTAAAAACGTTGGTGAGAAAGCTGCAGAAGGTGCTAAACAGATACAGGATAAAACAAAGGCAACTGCTCAAGATGTAGTTGCTGGCGCCAAGGCAACAAAGGATAACGTGTCCAAAGAAATCAAAGAAGATGCGGATGCAGTCAAAGAAAAAGTTGCATCAGGAATAACTGCAGTTGCTGACGGTACAGCAGCTGCGAAAGACAAAGCTGCAAAAAAAGCTAAGAAAGCGAAGGAAAAAGGTGGTGGCTTTCTCTCTGGTCTAATTAAGGGTGCAAAACATGCAGTTGAAGAAGTATCTGATGATGTCAAGGATTTTGTTGATGAAACAAAGAAGGAAGCTGCGGAAGAAGAATCCAAAGCTCGTGCAGCCGCTGCTGAAAAATTAGCAGAAATCGAGTCGACAAAGGATAAAGCTTTATCAAGTGTGAAGGATGCCAAGGAAAAAACCGCAAATTTAGTTGCGGATGGTGCAAGCAAACTTTCTCGGAAAGTATCCGATGGAATGCAGAAGGTGTCGGATAGTGGTAAAGCTACGGCAGAACATATAAAGGAAACTCCGAAACAGGCTGAAACCAAAGCAGTTACAGCTGTCCATGATGCAGCGGATAGTGTAAAAGCAACAAAGGATAACGTGTCGAAAGAAGTTCAAGAAGACGTAGAAACGATGAAACACAAGATATCATCTGGAGTTGATGCAGTCGCTGATGGCGCAAAAACTGCAAAAGACAAAGGCGCAAGGGAAGATAAAAAAGCTAAGGAGAAAAGTGGTGGATTCCTGTCTGGTCTTATCATGGTTGCAAAACATGCAGCTGAAGAAGTGTCGGAAGATGTCAAGGATTTTCTTGACGAAACGAAGAAAGAAGCAGCAGAGGATGAAATCAAGGCCCGAAAGGCAGCTGCTGAAAAATTGAAAGACGCTGAAGCAGTAAAGGACAAAACAGTAACTCATGTGAAAGACGCCAAAGACAAAGTTGCCGCTACAGTATTGGACGCCAAGGACAAAGTCAGCGAGAAAGTCACTGACGAAGTTCGAAAGGTGTCGGATGTTGGTAAAGTCGTTGGTGAGAAACTATCCGATGGAGTTAAAGAAGTTGAAGACAAAACGAAAACGACAGCTCAACAGGTAACTAATGGCGCTAAGATGGCGAAGGATAAGGTTACCAAGGAAATTAAAAAAGATGCGGAGATCGTGAAAAGCAAGGTATCATCAAGTCTCGACACCATTGCAGATAGTGCCGAATCGACAAAAGACAAAGCTGCGAAAGAAGCTAAAAAAGCAAAAGAAAAAGGTAGTGGCTTCCTCTCGGGTATCATCAAAGGTGCAAAACACGCAGCCGAAGAAGTCTCTGAAGACGTTAAGGATTTTCTTGACGAAACGAAAAAGGAGGCAGCAGAGGAGGAAGCCAAGGCTCGAGAAGCAACTACGGAGAAGGTGAAAGATGCTGAAGCAATAACGGACAAAGCAGTAGCTCAGGTGAAAGATGCTAAAAATAAAGTCACTGCTACAGTAAAGGATGCCAAGGATAAAGTCAGTGAGAAAGTCACTGATGGAGTTCAAAAGGTGTCCGATGCTGGTAAATTCGTTGGTGATAAAGTCTCCGACGGAGCTGCGACAGTTGAAAGTAAAGCGAAAGCTACGGCAGAAGGCATTGCTGACACTGCGATGACTGTAAAAGATAAAGTGTCTAAAGAAATTAAAAAGGACACCGATGCCGTCAAGGACAAGGTTTCATCCGGAGTTAGTACAGTTGTTGAGAGTGCCGACAATGCAAAGGAAAACGTCACAAAGGAAGCTAAGAAAGCAAAAGAGAAAAGCGGTGGATTCCTCTCTGGTCTGATTAAGGGTGCAAAACATGCAGCTGAGGAAGTCTCTGAAGATGTAAAGGAATTCCTCGATGAAACGAAAAAGAAAGCGGAAGAAGAGGAAGCTAAAGTTCGGGATGCGGGGACGGACAAAGTTAAAGGTGTTAAAGACACGAAGGACAAAGCCACTTCTGCTGCAAAGGACGCGAAAGATAAGATCACCGAAGAAGTGTCTACGGGTTTGCAGAAAGTATCTGATACCAGTAAATCCGCAGCGGACAAACTGGCAGAGAGTGCTAAGAAGGTAGAAGACAAAACAGAGGTCGCTGTTCTTGAAGTAGCTGAATGTGTCCAAGCAGGAAAGGAAAAATTAAAGGATAGCAATATGTCGGTAAAGCATAAAGTCTCAGCAAGCATCGATACTGTTGCTGACACCGCAGAAGCAGTAAAAGAGAAAGCTTCGAAAGAGGCTAAGAAGGCTAAAGAAAAAAGCAGTGGTTTCCTGTCCGGTTTATTTAAAGGTGGAAAACATACTGCCGGCGAAGTTTCGGATGATGTCGAGGAAGTTGTTGAAAAGACACATAAAGAAACTACTAAAGTAGTCACTTTCTCGGATCAGTTGCCCAAGTCTGTCGAACAGAAGGTCCACACGGGTGGTAGCGTCGAGAAGGGTGACATAGCTATGTTTTTAGAAGATTTAAAACAAGACGCTGCATTGAACAAATCATACCCTTATGACAATCAAAGGTTACAGGACTCTGACCAAAAAACTAAAAACTTAGCTGGTACAACCAAAGGAACCGAAAGTTCGGAAAGTGGAAAGGATGTTACACCACAAGCTATTGCAACTTCAGTTCCTTATACCGGTCACCCAATTTCTAGCACAGATCCCGAAGTACATGTTCGATTAACCGACGGGAATGTAAAAGATGGAACTCGTCCTACCGAAATGAAATCACAGAAAGTATCACGCATTCCACAGAAAATCAGCCCCCCTAGGGATACAAGTGTTAGCCCTACTAGCTCGCTCGATAGTTCGGTTAGGGTAGTCACGGTATCTAGTGAAGTAGAGCACCTCGAGCCTCACACACGACAAACCGTCACCACAGTCGTAACAAAGTCTGTGCGGACGGCAGCGACCCCACCACCCAGTCTCGCCGAGTACACTGACAATAGAATCGAAGGTATCTTGCAATAATTGCGTTATACATATTACATACCAGCTGTGTGTAACATGATTAATTAAGTTGACGCTTTTCTGTAACTTAAGTTTTGGTAGTCGTACCAAAATGACCGAATGGTCATTCGCACTGTGTCATTCGTAATAAATCCTAACACTCTGATCTCAATCACTCTTAGTGTACTAATTTCTACATGATCTTTTTATTAGACGAAAGTATTCAACGTACTATAAAGTGTAATAAGCCAATTGTTTCTTTCTCCCCCTTTGGTATAGAAACAAATCTACCTTTGTTAACGTGTAGCCGACGAACACTTGATTCGTCGTATGCCGCCTTTTTGGTATTGACCCCATGTCCGTACTAGTATTCGTTTCCTGTATCGAACCACTTGGTATAACAGTGAATTGAACTCTCGAATTGTCACTTTATAGTATGACAATCTAAATGTGCAACATTTATGAGAAGAATACATCGATCAACCGTAGCAAATGTGAAACAACATTACATACAGAGATTTCGATTTATTTGCTGTTATTATTTTCAGTTTGTGCGTTTTAACTTCTTTAACCTTTCTTTTAATGCATGTTTTCAGGTTTTATACGCTACTTCTTTTCTTTAACAATTTAATATTTATCCACGACACGATACTCTTGTTATCCGTCGGTAACAATATTGTCCGTTAAGAGCAACGACCTTATTTGTCATTATTCATTTCTTTTATTATAGCATAACATAGACAATCACATTGTTATTATTATACGGTAATATATCTCATTGAATTAACAGGAGACCACAACTAGCGAAGCATGCACCGAGGTATGCCATGCAGGGAAACATCATTCATCTAATCTTTGTCAATTCATTGCTTTCAATGTTCACCCGGTCACTTCCGGTGTTTCTCATGCCCGCGTTCGATGACTTTTTCAGATATAACCGAAGAGGCCGAGAGACGAGCACAGAGTCTGGCCGATCAAGCGTACACGATGTCAAAAGCAGGTAACGTATGGCCAGAAAGGATCTAGAATTCGCGTACACAGATCACAGGCCCAAGATCAATACGTTAGCAGATTCTATTTTGGTGCCCTCATTTATATTTAGCTTTATCTTCCATAGTTAGCACCTGCCGACGCTTTCACACTTGACTAATATTGTGCGCACGTTTCTTACTAAATAGATACCTCGTTTTCTCTCTTTTTTTTTTATCATAGACGTAAGAATCGTACGGTAAAATCTGTTCAAACATTGTACAATAGTTTTCGATACTCGACATACTTATCTTATTTTTCTTTGTAATTCTGTCGAACAAAAGAAAGACATCTAGTTGAAAGACCGTAGTTTTAGCGAGCTGTAAGTTCTCTTAGTTTCGTAGGATAAGATTTCATGTACTTTGTATTTTCTCCGCTGATTTGTCACTGTAAAAAAGTAATCGTTTTGAACAGTTTGACAACGAGCCACGCTTTTAATTCGAATTTTACCCGCAGAGACCGTCCAAGTTCTCTGATTGTATGTCGCAAGTAGCTGATTCATAATGAACCGAATTATTTTGCAGGGTACGTTTTAGTAAGATTCAGGCGCCACGATTAGACACCGTTCAATTGAGTGTTTTTTAAACACACACACAGGCATATATAATCCGATAATATGCATGCGTGTGTGAGCACACGAGTTCAGTGTGTGTACGCGCGTACACACCGATATCGTTATGTGAGACAAAAAAAAACACGCTGAATCTTTTCGAGTCCAACTCTGTCGCAGCTGGGCTAGAGTCGAAATTCTTAGTGTGTATCAATGTGCTTTATGTCCTTGTTCCTGTTCTTGTCCATGTCCTTTTGGATGGGTCAGGGCATGATTCGGCTGAGATTGATGGGACTGTAGAGAGGCATGCTACTTCTGCTCCAACAAAGCAACCTGTTCCCGCCCCGCGACATTCCACCAGGTCGTCCATCAAAGCAGACTTCCATCTAGATCTCAAAGATACCTCGTACACGCCGTACAGTCCCAAACATAAAACAACAGAACAGTCGAGACCGCGGGATGAAGAGGAACGCTCGCCGGAGAAGAGCAGCCCAAAGAGCAAAATACCGGTGAAAGTAAAAAAATCCGCGGAGAACAAGAACACATTGACGTCGACCGTTGAATCTGACGCGCACAGGGCAACGAAATCGGATAAACCAGGTCAACCGGTAGCAACGATAGGCTCGTTGGCCGTACAGAAAGCCAGGGACAAAACGCTCGACGATTCGCCAGAAAAGTTACCCAATGAGAAAGAACTACGAGACCCGGACGATACTAAGGAGAAAGAGGATTCGATCAAGCCTGAACTAACCCCTGAAACGCACCGCGCCAGAAGTCAAATAGCCACATTCGATAGCTCCTCTGTTCCCGAAACCATAAAGAGAATAGATAACCTAACGTTAGCTACTAAAGAGGACAGCATATTGGATCCAGAAAAATCGAGTAGAACCGTGACAAGAGAGACTGTCGTGGAATGTTCACCAATTATCTCGAATCAAGTGACCCGCACAACGATATCAAAGACTGAACAAAACACAACGGACGAGGTAGTGTCGAACGAGACCGTGGTGAAGACTGTTACGACTGTACGGTGCATCACGACAGAGTCTATCGGCGCTGAACAAATCCAGCAAATAGTGAAAACGATGACAACTAGCGGTAATTATGGCGACATGCCGATCGTTGAACAGATGTCCCCGAATGTAGTAAAGAGCAGCACCGAGCTGCCAGAGCCCTGGGCACACGATAGTCTAATGGAACGTTCGTTCCTGGGCAATGAGAAGGCTGAGCAATGGGAGAGCCAGCTCTCACAAGACACGTCGCCCGGTTCCGGAAACGGGGACATTTATCCAAAGAATGGTAGCTCACGGAATGATTTAAACAGTGACACTGAGAGCGACGGTTCCCCGCAACCGAGAAGAAGATCGCCGAGCAAGAGGCGTACGTTGGGCAGTTCCAGCGGGTCTGATGTAGCACTGCACGAAGGTGCGGAGCTGTCCCCCTTGGAGGACGACCAAGGTACCGCACTCACAGCTAACCTTCTAAGTAAGGCAATGTACATATCCCGCTAACCGATTTACCCCGAGAGACGTGATCAGATCCGTGGACGTGGTACACGCGTTCGAAACGCTTTTTTCGTGATACGCTTTTTTTCTGCATGCAACCCCGCACACCTCCCTATTGTTTTCGGTTGTTTCTTGTTTGCCGTAGGCCCTATTAGTGCCATGTTCTCTTGCCTTGTGAAGGAATGAAAATTCTAGCCTCGGTGATTTTGCGTTGATCGCAATTTTGACGTGTTCCATGATTCTCGTTGAATCAACGGGAAGTTGTATAGTTTCTGATACAAAGTATTCGATTGATACGCGATTGTGGTAAACGATTTTTGTAGATGGTGTATTAAAAATCGTGATACAAATAGAGGATGGAATAGTACGTTGTGTAATCAATTCAGTTTTTGGAGTAATTTCGGGTCATGGATGGCTTTGAATTCGGAAAGGATGGTTTACAGGAGATTATAGCTATATTTCGGGTTATATTTTAGTAAAGGAATTGTTGTGTTCTCTATTGTAGCACGATCTTTATCGTATTTTGTACATTAGAAAAAGAAAGCATATATGCGTACACAGTGTTCTTAGTTTAATTCAAGTTTACTAACATACTATAGTAACTATAAATGTATTGTTAAAGAATTATGATATAAATGTAGGTTTAGAATTTCTTTTCTAGTTGTGGAAAGTTTCTGAAATCATAGAAAAGTCCGAACAAAGTAAAATTTAGATCTTTGAACAGTATACTCTAATAATTCAATACTTTGATCAGTAGTGAATATCTCACATCCAAATCATTTTTAATTATTTCCTCTTTTTCTTGATTTTATTAGACATTGTTTCAATGGGACGATCAGCATATGTTGGTAAACTTACACCCAATATTTTGAGAACACCGTGTATTATATGTGAAAAAAAAAGAATAAAACGGTTTATTTTATTTAAACAATTTTTAATAAGTGCATGTTTGAAGAAAAGTGTTATTAACAAATATTTCATATATTCTTCAATTAGCTGTTGACCGTAATTTGCTCCAGTGGTTCGAAACTCGATCGTTGACATTGTCTCCTGATTCCTCTTTATGTTAGTGAACAAAAAATATTCATTACATTATATTTTCTACAAATAAAATTAACTCTTCAGATAAAATCAAATTTATTCAACCGAATACTTTTTGTCGGAAATTATATTGTATCGGAAGCTAACAACAAAATTAGTAAAAATATGAATTTAGTACTACACATAACGGTTCATGAATTCCATAGAAATTAAAAATCTTTCTTTAACAGGAATACTAATTTTATTATTGCTACCTATTATTTATACTCCGTACAATACATATTAATATATATTATTAAATATTTGAAGTTGAATGTTAGCAAATAAAAGCAATTGAAAAAATCTTATTTCATTGGTGAGAAACGGAAATGTTACAGTCTCGGCCTAATTTCGTCTATATTCTTTGCACACGGCATTGCATGATTTTAAACTTATATAATAACTGTAACTCACGGTGTATTTGGACATGGTGGAAGGATGTTGAAATATAAGATAATAACTACTCGCAAGGAAAAACAAAGCTTGTGACAGATTGACAGTTACCTGTGTGGTTTCTGAGTTTTTCGTGGATTTGTCATGGGCAAGATCTACTCCATAGGGTTCTGGTAATCGATTTAATGTGCTGCGTTCGAAAGCAAGATCTTCTTCCTCCCCCTTTTTTTGCCTACCGTTGGTCTTGGTTGGGCGGATGAAGTTGCGATCAGGGGCTTCTGGGACTAGCATACTTTTCATTGATGTTCATTCACGGTCAAACATATTATATGGCGTGTAAAAATTGGTTCAGTCTCGTTTATTTAAAAAGAAATATCGTAGGCTGGTCAAATTTTTCATTATTTTTTGTAGTTAATGAAACTATGGTTAAAATTATACTGTAATATTTGTTTAAAATATTTACTAGAATTCTAGTTAATGAAAAGGTATACAGAATTAAATCTTATTAAGAATACTTATACCATTTACAAATTCTCATAATCTAGAAAATGCTTTTTCTTTAATATAATTAAAAAATCATGTTTCTAACAGTATAGATATTGTTCAAATGTAAAAATTATAATAGTATATTTAATTTGTATCTGTCATATTAACAAAGCCTGTTAGATATTGAAAAAAATAAGCTTACCGAATTTGTTAATACAGAAGTGTGATATTCCTTTTTAAATAGATACAGGATGTTTATTCTGCATTTCATGATTAGACATATGTACTACTATCACTGGCAGAAATCAAACGTAATATGGTTTCAAACATTAAAAACACACTAATAGATACCAATTAATTCCTTGTGTGATTACACGTATACAGGATTTCACGCTTAACCCTATCCTTTCATTTCGAAAAAAAAGATATACATACATACAATAAAAATTTCCCAAGAAACAAATACATGGATACTATCCCAAATATCGAAATTCCATATTCGAGTTCTTCGTATAACACAATTGGCTATATTCTACTTCATGCGTATCAAATACTTATAACAGCACACTAAAGACAGTTCAAATCCAAGTGGTCGAAAAGAAAAACATTGTTTCGCTTCGCAATGTTACATGTTCAACAACCTTGTCCCTGGCCAAGCTTCATAATGGGGTGAACTTAATCCGGAACTTACAATTAATCCCAAGGAGAGGAGTTAATTTCGTCAATAACATCAGGAGAGTCACTCAAACGAAACTCTCCAGCTTTCGGGCTATCGATGTTTTTTTTCTAATGTATGGAAACCCTTCGTCATTGTGTATCGGACTATTAAGTATCATTCGCATCGCTGCAAATCAATCCATTCAGGCTCGACGATCCATGCTATCTTCTTCATATACGTATTCTGTAATAAACCAACAAGACTGTGTTTATAAAAGCTTTTCTATGTTACATCTACCGTAACTAGGGCGATCAACAAAGTAGTTTTCTTGAGGAGTGATATACTGATGGTCTATCATTCCCTAAAGTAATGTTGGAAGCCTTTATTTGGTTAACTAAGCATCAAATCCCTGTTTCATTGCTGTGGTTGTAAATGAATTTCTAACTTTAAAGAAGATTGCAGTGGCTCCTTCCTTTTAATGTGGCAGTTCTTACAACTCATTTTATTTACGAGAATTAAAAATCATCTGAAACAATACATATCATTTATATAAGACAAAAATTATTCAGAGATCGACTAGGTGAATGACTCAAAAAATGAAAGCTTCCTACTCTGCTCCAAGAAACGAGAAAAGTCTCAACATCAGTATGTCGTTCCTCAGAGGGAAATACGAAAGAATTTTGCATCATTATTAAATGTATCTTATTTAAATAAATCTCTTAAATGGATGCTCCAATGCTCGAGACATCTGCTATTTTCCGCTCGACCGAACTTACGACCGCATCATTATTAAATGTATCTTTCAAGAATCGTCATTCGACCAGCTGGAATTTATCGTATTAACCCTCGGAAGGCGAACAGTTTTGATGGTAATGCAGATAGCAAAACGTGGGTTCGTTTAGACCTTCCTGCATAATTCCTTCTAAATACTCTTTTCAACGAATTTCTTTCTAACTTGATTGTCTCTATATTCGGACTAGCAAGCAACTATTAAGTTATATTATTTATCAAAAACAACTGACTCATTGAGGACCAATGTTGCGTTAATGCAACATTTAATTGGCAATTTTTTTTCAGTCAATTTATATTATTCAATTCTGTTCTTTTTATTAATGTTCTTTTTATTAACTTATGTTCAAAACTTGTATTATCTCAGTATTTAGCCTTTAATGGATTAAAGTGGATAAAGTTCTTGAAAACTCCGATGAAAATTGATCCAGTCATCGCCGTCAAAGGGTTAAGTAATTCATTTTGAAATTCCCGCGCGTAAAATTGAACCATCGCGTGGATTATCCTAAGAATACGTGTAAACTTTCAAGCTATAAATTGGCGTAAAACTGATTATTTAAAAAGAATAACCGTGATTGTAGGGAATGCAATGTGAAAAAGCTTTTGTAAAGTCAGTCTCATATCACTTTCGGATCAGTCCACGTATTTCGCCCGCTGGTCTCTTCATACACTAATCATGGGGTGGGGAACGCAGAATTCAGTGATATCAAAATTCATCAACGGCGAGAACAAGCCGGCCAGAAGGTTCATAGGAGACGTAATCTTTAAGTGACAGAAACAGACAGTTCGATACAGTCGGTTTGCTCGAGCACGCGGCGATGTACGGTAGAGGGAACGCCTAGGACGAAGACTTCCGGTAGAGCGGGCTGCGCATGTTGGATGAGCGTAGCCGCCGCTACGTTGGTGGTCCTACTAGCAATTTTTCTTGCCTTGGAGCCACAAACATTCCAACGTGCCATCTACACCCTCTCTAACAATTCCCCGAGGCAAGCTGGGTACGATTATACCCTTCATTTTATTTATTTCTATTAAAGAACAGAAAATAAAAATTAAAAGAATTGTTTGGTCAACCATGTAAGCCACCGCTGCGAACACGTAACATGTCCCATGACCAAAATTGTTACTTGTGCAAGGTATCGTATCAATATTGGCACAACCCTCGCTAAGATACAACGCGGTCGTAAATTATTGGGTAAATGTCTCAATTACTGCCAGTGTTCCTAATACTACCATTTTATTCATTTTACTTGATAAAAATGTAACGTATAAAGAATTGTGTACAAAAACTGTTTCTATTAAATTGACACTTTGCTTTGCAGAAAAACAAAGAAATACATGTATCTGTGCACATGTATCAGTGTGGGTACCTGGTATTTAAAACCGAATGTTGAAGAATTGAAAGTGCTATTTGAAATTATACTAAACGAAAGAACTATCTATATCTATTGTACAAAATGAATTGTTAAAGTATATAAGAATTACTTTAATTTTTGAGGTGACATTTACTTTAATTAATTATTGATTAATTCTTCATATTTAATGTATAA